GAGCCAGCCAAGTGCCCCGATCATAGCTGTTTTAAAATCTTTGTCTGCTAACCCTAATATTTGGATTAAGTCAGGGTCAGTTTCTGTTGATTGATTCTTCTCTGGAGAATAGATCATGTTTTCCTGTTCCTGTTGATAGACTCTTCTCTGGAGAATAGATCATGTTTTCCTGTTTCTTTATATGCCAAACAATTCTGTTGAGTTGTGTCCTTGATACTGAATATGATACATTGTAGACACTGGATTTTTCTTCTTCTTCTTTTTTTTTTTACCTTCCTCTAAAGAACATTGAATTTTGTTTGTTTTGTTAAACTCTGTTCCCGTGCAGTGAATGGCAGTTTAAATCTCAGTTCAGTTCTTTTAGCCCTAACTTGGTTGCTTGAAGTCTGTTCCATGCATGCATAGTTTAGGGATTAGCCAGCCATTTGGGCAGAATTTATACACAGAGTTTGAGGCACCTTCTTTTGGTTCTCTTTGGAATTTCCCTCCCTCACTTCTCTGTTGTGGTTGCCTTAAAGTCTGTCCTCTGGTTTGTGAAGCTAGTAAGACTGTGGGTTTTTGGCTGAATTTTAGCCATCTTTCATGGCACAGACTGGGACCTGGATGGCCAAAAGCCGTAACAGGAGACACTTGCTTGGTGTCATTACCTTTTTCCAAGTTTTGACCCTCTCTCTTCTGTCATAATCTGCCTTTTTGTTCCCTAGTACTTCAGGTAGTTGTTTATATTCTGTCCAGTGTTCAGAGTTATCTGCAAGAGAGTTGGTCTCATAGAGCTGCTCTTCCATGACTGGAAGCAGAACCGCCATCATGCTAGATATAAATTCTTCTTTCTTCTTTCTTCTTCGATTTTATTTATTCATTTGACAGGGAGAGACAGAGCGCACAAGCAGGGGGGAGCAGCAGGTGGAGGGAGAGGGAGAAGCAGGCTACCTGCTGAGCAGGGAGCCTGATGTGGAGCTCCGTCCCAGGACCCTGGGATCATGACCTGAGCCAAAGGCAGATGCTTAACCAACTGAGCCACCCAGGTGCCCTAGATATAAATTATTCTGTTGACAAAGTCAGTTTTTTTCATTTGTAGTTTCACAGATGTTTGTATTATCCTTCCCATCTCTTCTAAGAGACCAGATATAAAAATGCCCTTAACTCTTGCTCTTTTTTTTTTTCAAACTTCAAATTTTATGTAAAGCTTCTTAAGTGTATGTGAACTCTGATTACTGATAGGTTTAGAAATTGAAATACTTTTATTTGGTATATCTAATCCAAGATAGAGGTATAACAGATGTGTCCCATAAGCGCTTTCCTAGGAAGTGATGATTACTTTTATTTTTCTTTAATCTAAGCTAACACTATGTTCTGGAGAAGCTTTGTGTAATTTAACATAAACCAGGTGGGGATTTGACTGTATTGGGTCTTTTTCACGTAGCTCTTTGGAACATGTGTTTTCTTATCTGCACTACCATTTTAAAACTATCACTGTTTCCCACAGATGTAATACATCTATTATAAATGTGTAACTTTGAGATTTTGGTGAACTTTTTTTTTTTTTAAGATTTTGTTTATTTTAGAGAGAGAAAAAGAGCGAGCCTGAGTGGGGGGTAGGGGGGGAGGGAGGGGAGAGAGAATCCCAAGCAGACTCCCCACTGAGTGCAGAACCTGGTGTGGGACTTGATCTCACAACCCTGAGTTCATGACCTAAGCTGAAATCAAGAGTTGGATGCTTAACCAACTGAGCCCATCCAGGCACCCGAATGTCTAGTAATTTTATTTATTTATTTTGAGAGAGAGAGAGAGTGTTGTGAGTGAGCACATGGGCAGGGGGGCAGAGAGGGAGAGAGAGAAAATCTCGAGCAGTCTCCTCACTGAGCACGGAACCTGATGTGGGACTGGATCTTACAACCCTGAGATCACGACCTGAACCATAATCAAGAGTTGGATGCTTAACAACTGAGCCACCCAGGCTTCCCTTGGTGAACATTTTCTGATGACGTTTCAGATGACTTCAAATACAAGTTTTGAGGATAAGATTTTTTTTCTTTTTTAACTCATTCACATATGTGTGTATGTGTAAAGAGAGAGAAGTTTGCATCTACAGGCTTCTTATGATAAAAAAGGAGAAAATAATGTCATCATTAACCCAGAAAGCAGTTATTTAATAGTGCATATATTTTATTTTAGACTGCATGTAAACCTACCCATTTAGGTTAATCTGTAAGTGGTGAGATGTTTGCTGCCCAAATTGGAGAAACATTTGGAGTTGTGGCTTCTGACTTTTTTGGGTCATGGAACCCTTTGAGAATCTGATGAAAATTGTGTTTTCTCTTTAGAAAAATGCACATATTTTCATACAAAACTTTGTAAATCATTTCAGAGAGTTTAGGGGTTCCTTTGAAGCTTCTCAGTTGTAAGCATCCCTTATTTAGGATTATTCAAATCAAGCTAGTACCAACAGGCTAATAGCAATACAAATGTCAGTTTGTTTCTGGCTTGGTCAAAGCAGAGCAAGTAAACAAAGAACCTGTCAGAAGTCCTTGTAAGGTGTGCAGGCTTAAAAAAAATCTGTTACGATTTATCTGAATTGTACTTCCTCAGGGACAGATTCACAAAGATAGACTGACACCTAGTTGACTAATTTTTAAGTTGCTGTTAGAAATGGGCCTTAGTTCTGGTATCCAGACCTGCTGACATTTGTGGACTCTGTATGTGTTAGGTGAATAAGTAATTACTTTTTCCAGGACAGTAGGCCAGTTGTGGTTGCAATGTCTTATTCCTAATATTGTTTGAATTTCCAGAGGTCTAAATAATTGGAGACTTAAAGGACATATGTACCGGTTTCATGAGGTGGGTCTGTGTAGATGTTCTGGAGGCATTAAGTCTCTACTGCTTATTCTCAAAACTTAGCCCTCAGCAAATGATGAAAGACTGAATTGTTTTAATAAAAATATCTTAGGTTTGTGAATCCCCTTCCTCTGTGACTTGCCTGACACTCTATATAGGGTGCTGTAATGAACATGATTTGGTCTCAGGGCTCTCATACTGCTTTACACACCCCCTTTCCCCTTGCAGTGCAAATACTATGCTCCCGATACTGGTCCAGTCTAATACACAGAAGGACTTATGTCTAAGATTGGCAGTCTCCGTGGTGCCTTTACTGACTCTTTAACAAGAACCTGACTCCTTAACAAGAAATCTTTACTTAGCTTGTTTGAAGAAGGGGTGGGAGGTGAAGAGGTGGTGTGGAGGATAGAGGATCTAAAGACCACTTCTCCTTGTGATTCATAACCTCCCCCTCCTCTTTGTCTATACTTCAGGTCAGTTCATCATTTTCACCTCTGGCCTTTTCTCAGTGGTTGTTTAAAATGGTCTGTTCCATCCTTTGAATGCTCATTATGTCTTGGAGTCACCTCATAACCATCTTAAAAAAATACCCTTCTCTAAAGGCTTTCATTAAAGACAGTGGAAACTGCCCTGATTCCTGTTTCTGTTCAAATATGTTGTAGTTTTTCGTGAGGGGATTTTCTGGCCTAGTAAGGAAGAAATGAGCGAACTGACAACTAAAAGTGAAGAAGCTTAGGAGGAAGACATAGTTATCTTCTCAGAACTGAATACAGTTTAAATATATATTCTGAGACTTACAGACTGTAGACAAGATCATTATGTCGGCTGCTTGCTGTTTAATTTTTTTGTACAGTAAGTGCAGCCTTGGCATGGGTGTGTTCTTCGCCGGTGTTATTGAAAGCTTGAGACTAACTGTACATAGCCGTAGGGGCTTTATTGCTACCACTGTTACCAGCTGCCTGCTAATTTTGCCAGTCTTCTTTAGTGAGGATTACCAAATGTATTTTGAGAGATGAAATTTGCTGGAAAAGAGTTTCAGAAAACTCAGTTTGGAAGAAGCAGGAAATGAGAGGAATTGAAATTGTGTTACTAGCTTTACTAACAGAAGGAAAGTTGAGTCTTGTCAGAAGTTGAAAATTATGAATAAGTGGGCTTCTGATGATGATGATGGACAAAACCCGAGAGAAAGTGGAAGTGAATGTTTTAGTTATAAATGATAACTTTCTGACTGGAATCATTCTTAATTTCTGGAACAAGTACCTTAGAATCACTGTAAACTCTTTAGAAACCTAAGATGCTTCTGGGATGATTTAGAGTGAAGAACTATGCAACTTTAGGATTTTTATCCCAGACCTGTGTTGGAAGAATGCATCTTCCTTAATCACCAGCTCCTTTGGGTTCCAAACTAACTCAGAAAAACTATAGTTAGAACAGAATTTATATTATCAACTAGAACATGTGAGCAGGATCCTGTGCAAGTGTGCTCTGAATGGTTGGACCACAGAGACTAAAGATCTGGAGCCTCCCAGATAGTAACCTCCCTGTGAAATGGTTATTTGTGTATGTTCTTTTTTCCTATACATTTGAGAGTAAGGTCCTGAGGATAGGTGCTTCCTTTTGTTTGTCTCTATCCCCTCAGTACCTAAGGCCCTTGTATGACATGATTACTCAATAAATATCAGATTCATTCGAATTGTTTTTGATCATGTTTTCCACATATTTTTCCATGACTCCTACTACATTTATTTGTTTGAAATATTTAGGTACATTTAATTTGTCCCCTATTCCCTAACTCCTTAGGAAAAGCAGTATTTGGGGCAGGATACTTTGGGATAAAGTATCAAGTGACTTTATAGTAATTTGATATCTGTTGAGCTCTTCATGTCATTATGCTGTATTGTAATGTTTTTTCGAACTGTGAATTGTGTTAGTAGTTTTAGTTAGTTTGGTTTTAATGATACAGAGTAGAAATTATGAAAGGGCATCACACAGAGTAAGGGTAAGTATTATTTTGTGAAATTTGTTTTAGGCAAATTTATATGTACACATCATTTATGTATTTATTGCTTCATGACGTAACATTTGTTTCATACTGGAGTCATGGTCAAAAAAGTTTGAATACTATTGCTTTATTGTAATACTCTGTTATTTCATTTATCATATAGCATTATGCCAGTACATACAGGCTTCTAAAGCCAGGGATGGTGCCAGCCCTTTCATTTCCAGTACGACTGAAGGTAAAAACAAAACAAAACTGAGAACACCCAAACCTTTCTGGTGGCGTTTACATGTCTTTACAAAGTGGTATTTTGTACCTTTGACCTTCTAACTTTCTTGTGCCTTTTTTGGACCAGTAGGTTTTTCATATTTGTGTCCGTCTAGGTGGTGGGTTCTTTGGTTCTTCCTCTTTTCACTTGAATGTTCTTTATTTCAGTATATTCTAACGTTTTTAGGGGGAACGGGGAAACAAAGTAGAATTTTAGAAATTTCAAATGATTCTGAATTGACAAAATATCTCATTAGATTTACCCTGAAATATGCTTTTTTAATGTTCTTGAATCTTTTAGTCCCTTCGTGTTTTTTCAGAGATCATAGAAATGCATACTTTATTCTGAATTTAAAATAATTTATGCTTCTATGATATCAGTTGATTTTAAGCAAACTAAATGTGGTTTACAGGAAAAAAGATGGATATAATCCTTTGTCATTTCTTGTGCTATCTCCACTCTCCCAAGAAGATTAACCATTGGATTTTAGTAATAACTCACTTTCAAGAAAAGAAAAGATAGCTAGTGATGTCCACTATTAACCGTGCTAAACTTTTTCAGCTTCTTTACTTACCTAATAACTTTGATACCTTTCCTGTTCTTAGATGGTTGGCATACTAACCCCTTTGCCTTTACTTCTGTACCTTGCTGGACTACCAAGCTCAGACAATCGTAACGCTGTGATTTTGAGGGACTCTGTAGAGATGATTTCCTTCATTCTTTTTCTTGCAGGAGAAAATTTTGAGCAGACACCACTGAGACGAACATTCAAGTCTAAGGTCCTTGCCCGATACCCTGAGAATGTAGAATGGAATCCCTTTGACCAAGATGCAGTGGGAATGGTTAGTATTTGTTAGCTGCAAGTATGAAATAATTTACAAACTAATTTACAGTAGAATTGTGAGTTCAGACTGGTAGCAGCAGTTCCACCAGCTACCAATAACTTTTGAAGAAGGGGTTGTGTGCATATTATTCATGATTCTGCATTTTGGTCAACATATCAAATATGCTGAAAATCACAATGTTTCTGTTTTGTCAGAACAAATGCATAGTAATGGTTCAGTGAACTTTGAGGTACTGAGCTATTGGTTGCTTATAGTACTGAGATTACATGATGAGTCTGATTTAAAGCAGTTTTCTCTCAATCTTGGTTGTTTATATCTGGGTGATATGACAGAAATGGATATTTTGTTTCATCCTATTTTAGATAGGAGAGCATTTTTTTTTTTTTTAATTTGAGAGAGAGAGAGCGCACAAGCTGGGGAGAGGGGCTGAGGGAAAGAGAGAAGCAGACTCCCTGCTGAGCATGGAGCCCAATTTGGGGCTCAATCCAGGACCCTGAGATCATGACCTGAGCCAAAGTCAGACGCTTCATTGACTGAGCCACCCAGGCACCCCAGGACAGGGGCGTAAATCTCACGTAGAATACTACTATGAATAATCTAACCTTTATTGAGTATTCACCTTGTACTAGGCACCATGATAAGCATTTTACATGAATTAATTCATTTAATCTTCACAGTACCCCTTATGTAGATGATGCTAAATAAACACACACACGCACACACAGATACACATATATTTTATACATGAGGGAACTAAGATTCAAAGAGGTTAAGTAACGTGTTCAAGAGGTTAAGTAACGTGTTCAAGGTCACATGGCTAAGAAGCAATTGAGCTGCAATTTGAGAACTATATCATAGTCTGGTTCCAGTGCCATGCTCTTGATCACATCTTTGTACTACCTGTATTAATTTTTAATAGCTTCTTTAAGTTTTTAGAGGATGATCTTGTTTGATGCATTTAATAACCCTGTGAAGTAGGCAGAGTAAATTATATTATCTTCATTTCACAGATGAGGAAACTGAGTCTTAGTTTTGAGTTTTTTGACTCCTAGTCCAGTGCTTATTTCATTGTAACGTGCTGTATTCTAGAAACACCTAGGTTTGGGGAAGTCAAGTCCAAAGGTAATGGATATAACATAATGTAGGTCCTTTTATTTGTTAACCCCAGGCCACTAGGAGATCATTTGTATAGCTAGGTTTATATAGAACTGGAAAATGGGGACTGATTGATTTAGGTCAGTTTGATTAGCTATCCAGGTTTCTTTATATAACCCATCTGAGTTAAAGTAAAAAAAGTGCATCTTTATCCTGATTATGTCATCTCCTTGCTTTATGTGAAATGCTCCCTTTTTTCCTATGAAAAGAGAAGGTTCTCTTGATGACAGAGTTTTGTGACCTGATAGAGTCTAAAACTTTGTTTATTTTTAGGTACAAAGTTGTATCTGTCTAGTTTATAGGTATATTTCTAGCATCATTTCCCAGTAAATGCTGTTATGCTTAACCATCTACCTAAATTCTCCAAGCTTTCTCTTACCTCCTTATTTTTGTGAATTTTCTTGTCCTTGAAATACCCTCTTTCCCTTTTCTACCTGATGAATTCTAATATAACCTCATCTGTGAAACCTTTTCTGATGTTCCTGGGCTGGGTGTCTATTCTGTGTTGCCCTAACACTTTGTTTTTGGGTAGTCCTGATAACTGCATTATAATTTTATTTACTCATATGTCTTAGAATGGGAGATTTTTAGGACAGATGTTTTGCTGTGTTGATCTTGATATCCCAAACACGTAGCATAGTAGGTACTCTGAGTAAATAAATAGTGATGGTATTCTGAAAAGAGGACCAGCAGTGAGTGTTCTCACCACTTGTTTCCTTGTTGTCTTTTGCAGCTATGCATGCCCAAAGGGCTAGCATTCAAGACCCAGGCTGATCCCAGGGAGCCCCAGTTCCATGCCTTTATTATCACAAGGGAGGATGGCTCTCGGACATTTGGGTTTGCCCTCACATTTTATGAGGAGGTGACTAGCAAGCAGATCTGCAGTGCAATGCAGACCCTCTACCATATGCATAATGCTGAGTATGATGTCCTACATTCTCCCTCTGTTGATGGCCGAGACTACAGTGGCATGGAGGATGGTGAAGGCACTCCTGGGACCAAGCTTCAGCGCTTCAACTCCTATGACATTAGCCGGGACACGCTCTACGTCTCTAAGTGCATCTGCCTCATCACACCCATGTCCTTCATGAAAGCATGTCGGAGTGTGCTGGAACAACTTCACCAGGCAGTCACTTCACCTCAGCCCCCTCCACTGCCCCTTGAGAGCTACATATACAATGTACTCTATGAGGTGCCACTCCCGCCTCCTGGCCGGTCCTTGAAGTTTTCTGGGGTCTATGGGCCAATAATCTGCCAGAGACCAAGTACCAATGAGCTTCCCTTATTTGACTTTCCTGTCAAAGAGGTCTTTGAACTGCTTGGGGTGGAAAATGTGTTTCAACTTTTTACTTGTGCTCTTCTGGAGTTTCAAATCCTGCTCTACTCACAGCGTAAGTCAGTGCTTACTAGAGCTTTCTCCCTGCATAGGGCCTCCCTTCTTTCCATATTGAATGCAGTGGAACTGACTGTAAAGGTCAGGGGCTGTTACAATTTGAGCAAAACTCAGACCTTTTGCAGGTAGGTGGTAGATGGCAAACTGATGGAGCACAAGAGGGCCACAGTTTCTAATTGGCTATCATCATGGCCTTTTGCTGGGCACTTCAGCTTGGGGGGGGGTTCCTTCCTGACATCCCTTCTAATTGATGCTGAAAAGAGGGGTAGGAAATGATGGTTCTAGAAAGCTGACTTTCCATCATTCCGCAGTTACTTTTGCCCCTTCTGCAGCCTGACAGTAATAACTGAGGATTCACAAATGATGATCCTTTGAGAAAATGAGAATGTATTGCTTCTTTCTGTTGTTTGTTATAACTGAATTGTTTTTTATAAATTAGAGGTGAACTGAATGTGAGCAGCAGGTTTGGACAAAATAGTAAAGTAGATCAGAAGGAAACAGATGTTTATTAAATGAACCAGAAAAATAACATAAAATTTATTCATTCAGTACCTATTTATTGAGACCCTGCCATGTGCCCGGCATTGTTTCAGGGATTAGAGATACAGTGGTGGACAAAACAGGTAAAAATCCTTCCTATAATGGAACTGATATTTTAGTGGGGAAGGAGGGGATGATGAAATAAATAAAGTTTATAGTGTGTGAGGGGTAATAAGGTCTGTGGAGAAAAATAAAACAGGGAAGAGGATGGTATTTGGGGAAGGGAAGTTCCAATTTTTTTAAAGATTTTTGAGCCAAAGGCAGACATTTAACTAACTGAGCCACCCAGGTGCCCCTCCAATTTTTAATAATGATTAATTTAAGTCCTCTCTAAGTGACCCTTGTTAATATCTGTAGGGAAGGTATTCTATGCAAAGGGCATAGCACATAAAAGGGTTTTGAGACAAGAATGTGCTTGTTATGTTCAAGAACAGTTGAGAAAACTGGGTGGATGGTACCGAGTGAGAAAGCAGGAATATAGAAGCAGATGTTGTTAGACTTAACAGGAGCTTAGATTTTACAACTGTAGACCATTGTAAGGACTTTGTTACTCTGAGATGCATAGTCATTGTAGGTTTTAAGTTTTTTGACTTTTATTTTGAAGTATTTCCAGCTTATGGAAGAGTTGCAAGAAATGTTCAAAGAACTTTTGTGTGCTCTCCCACAGTTCACCAGTTATTAACATTTGGCCACATTTGTCTTCATTTTCTCTCTCTCTCTGTGAATGTGTGAACATAAAACTGAACCATTGAGAATCATTGCAGACGCTATTTCCCTTGACTCCTAAATGCGTCAGCTTTTATTTCATAAGAGCAAGGACGTTTTCTTACAGAACCATAGTATGATTACCAAATTTAGGAAATGTAGCATTGTTAATAATATTTATTCAGGTTTCACCATTGTCCCAAAAATGTCTACTATTACAATTTTTTTTTATTCCTGATCCGGGATCTTGTCTAGTAACATGCCTTGCTTTTACTTTTTACTTCTTCATGTGTTTCCTGACATGGACATTTTTGAAGAGTGCAGGCAAGGCATTTTGTAGATTGTCCCCCAGTTTGGGTTTGTCTGATGTTTCCTCATGATTAGATTCAGTTGATACATTTTTCATTATAAAACACAGACGTGATGTTGTGATTCTCTCAGTGCATGGTATCAGGAGGCACATAATGTGTATTTTTATCATGACAGGAGGCACTTGATGTCAGTTTGTCCATCTTTGGTAATGTTAATTTGATCACTTGGTTAAGATTATGTCTGCCAAGTTTCTTAAATGGAAATTTATCCTTCTTCCCTTTGTAATTAGTAAGTAATTTGTGGGGAGTTAACTTTGAAACTGTAAATATACTGTTCTTCTTTGAAGTTTTGCCCAATAGATTTAACACCCATTGATGATTCTAGTCTGAATTAGTTATTACCATGATGGTCACAAAATGGTGATTTTTTAGCTCCATCTATATTTTATTTTTATTTATTTTTTTAAAGTTCATTTATTTATCCGAGAGAGAGTGCACAAGCAGGAGGGACAGAGGGAGAGGGAGAGGGAGAGAGAATCTCAAGCAGACTCCATGCCAAGTGTGGAGCCTGTCATGGGGCTTGATCTAATGACCCTGAGATCATGAACTGAACTGAAACAAGAGTCAGATGCTTAACTGACTGCATGACCCAAGTGTCCTTCCATCTATATTTATTAATTGTCATTGTACTATAAGGAATAATGTTTATTTTTCCTTGTTTGTTATTATATGGACTCATAGTTTTTTATTTTGTTCAGTAGGTTAGGTACCTATAATGCAGTGGGGATGTTGTAGACGTGGGAAAAGGAGGATTAAAACCAGAAATATGATAGGTGACATTTTTCCATCAGAATTCCTTCTTAAATTTCTTGGAATATGAGTTATTCTGTCAATAATACAATCAACAATACAAATTTTAAGAGGTTTGAAGGTGATTGAGAAGATTTGTGTATAGAATCAAGTGGTACTCAGGACCTAAAGCCATGTTTATAGCATGGTCAGGAAAAAGATTTTTCCAAAAAAATTCCTGGATATTGTTGAGCGTGGCTGACAGTAAAATGGAGTGGCCTTTTATTGGATGTACGTTATGCTCTTTGTTAATAGTGTAGTTTAAACAGTTGAGGTTGGTTTTCTTGAAATAGTTTTTATTTATGATTCAAAGACCTTAGGTGGGTGAAAATCTTTCTGGCCTTCCAAAAACATGTCATCACCACTCACAGTTAGTGTTGCCCACTGTATGTCTTGCCTACTGAATAGAAAAGAAGTGTAACTTAGGGAAAAAGAATGCAGGTGAAATTGTAAGACAAAGTATAACCCATTGGATGACTGAACTGACAGTTTTGTTTTTTTTTAAAGATTTTATTTATTTACTTGACAGAGAGGGAACACAAGCAGGGGGAGTGGGAGAGGGAGAAGCAGGCTTCCCGCTGAGCAGGGAGCCTGATGCAGGGCTCAATCCCAGGACCCTGGGATCACGACCTAAGCCGATGGCAGACGCTTAATGACTGAGCCACCCAGGAGCCCCTGAACTGACAGTTTTGTGTTTTTTTTTGAAAGATTTTATTTATTTGAGAGCGAGAATGAGAGACAGCATGAGAGGGAGGAGGGTCAGAGGGAGAAGCAGACTCCCTCCCGAGCAGGGAGCCCGATGTGGGACTCGATCCCAGGACTCCAGGATCATGACCTGAGCCGAAGGCAGTCACTTAACCAACTGAGCCACCCAAGCGCCCTGAACTGACAATTTTAAGGATTTTTTTTTTAACTTGTACAGATCATTTTACCTACTCCTGGATAATGTTTGTTCTTTGGTCTATATAGATACAGGGTTTTTTAAATTTTTAAAAAATTTTTAAAGGATTTTATTTATTGACACACAGAGAGAGACAGCGAGAGAGGGAACACAAGCAGGGGGAGGGGAGAGGGAGAAGCAGTCTTCCTGCCGAGCAGGGAGCCCGATGCGGGGCTCGATCTTAGGACCCTGAGATTATGACCTGAGCCTAAGGCAGTCGCTTAACCAACTGAGCCACCCAGGCGCCCCTATAGATAGAGCTTTTTTAATAGCATATTTTTTTTACCAGGTGCTGTAAAATTGTATGTAGAGCAGTTCTTTACCTGATATGAGTTAATAGGGTAGTAGATTGGATAATTGAAAGTCATTCAAGTCTGATAATCATAAAAGGGGTGTGTGTATATATATATATCCATTAAACATTGTATTTTAGCTTAAAACATGACTGTATAGTCACTAGTCTTTTGATGAAAGGTCTAGGTATTTCCTTTGATTATGGGTCCACTAATCAGTTGTCTGCATTGTTTTTCTTGCATGGAAATTTTCTTAAATGGTAACCCATAATGCATTCACTAGGTTTTCCAGATGCATTTTTAAAAATTTTTAAATTTTTATTTATTTTTTTAAAGATTTTTTTTTTTTTAATTTGAGAGAGCGTGAGGAGGGGAGGGTCAGAGGGAGAAGCAGACTCCCCGCCAAGTGGGAGCCTGATGTGGGACTCGATCCTGGGACTCCAGGATCATGACCTGAGCCAAAGGCAGTCACTTAACCAACTGAGCCACCCAGGCACCCTGATGCATTTTAAAAATTTTATTTATTTTTTATTTTTAAAATTTTTTTTTAAAGATTTTATTTATTTGACAGAGAGACACAGCGAGAGAGGGAATACAAGCAGGGGGAGTGGGAGAGGGAGAAGCAGGCTTCCCGCAGAGCAGAGAGCCCGATGCGGGCTTGATCCCAGGACTCTGGGATCATGACCTGAGCCGAAGGCAGATGCTTAGTGAGTGAGCCACCCAGGCACCCCACATTTTTTTTTAAAAAGGGGAGTGAGAACTTCACTAACCTTGCGAAAGAACCAGAATGGAGACTGCCTATAGATTTTTGCAGTGTTTGGTTTTGTTTTTTTTTTTTTTTACTTAATTGCCTCATGATATGCTTAATTCAATCACACTATTTTTTAGCCACTTGGCAGTACTCAGTTTATTTATTTATTTATTTATATTTTACTTTAGTTTTTTGAGAGAGAGAGTGTATGCGTGCTTGGGGGGCAGGGGCAGATGGTGAAGAAGGGAGAGAGAGAATCCTAAGCAGCCTCCACACCCAGCAGGGAGCCTGACATGGACTCAATCTCACGAACCTGAGATCGTGACCTGAGGCAAAATCAGGAGTTGGAGGCTTAACCGACTGAGCCACCCAGGCATCCCTACTTCATCCTTTTTTTTTTTAAAGATTTATTTAATTTTTTGCCTGGGGGGAGTTGCAGAGAGAGAGGGAGAGAAATCTTCAAGCAGATTCCCTGACTTGGGGCTCAATCCCAGGACCTGGTATCATGACCTGAGCCGATATCATGACCTGAGCCGAAATCATGAGTTGAATACTTAACTGACTGAGCTACCCAGGGCACCAAAAATAAGTTTTTTAAAAAACAATAATGCGTGGACAGACAAGGCAGAGAAAGTTGAGTTTACCTTTTTCACCTAGAATCCAACTCCTCAGAAGTAATCTCTTAATTTTTTAGTGCCCCCTCTCAAATATTTTTGAACAATGAACTATTTTTATGTGAAGTATTGAGTACATATGTATTAATTGTAATATTCTTTAAAGTAAACAAGTACATTATGATAGATGTATGATATATTAAAATTAATGTTAAAATTTAATATACTATATGTATATGTTTTAAATATGGTATATTATTTTTTAATTTTAATTTTATTTTTATTATTTATTTATTTTGTTATGTTAGTCACCATACAGTAGTACATCATTAGTTTTTGATGTAGTGTTCCATGATTCATTGTTTGCATATAACACCCAGTGCTCCATGTAATATGTATCCTCCTTAATACTCATCACTGGGCTAACCCATCCCCCCCCCCAAACCCTCAATTTGTTTCTAAGAGTCCATAGTCTCTCATGGTTCCTCTCCCCCTCTGATTCCCCCCCTTCATTTTTCCCTTCCTTCTAATGTTCTCCATGCTATTCCTTATGTTTCACAAATAAGTGAAACCATATGATAATTGACTTTGTCTGCTTGACTTATTTCACTTAGCATAATCTCCTCCAGTCCCATCCATGTTGATGCAAAAGTTGGGTATTCATCCTTTCTGATGGCTGAGTAATATTCTATTGTATATATGGGCCACATCTTCTTTATCCATTCACCTGTTGAAGGGCATCTCGGCTCTTTCCACAGTTCGGCTGTTGTGGACATTGCTGCTATGAACATTGGGGTGCATATGGCCCTTCTTTTCACTATATCTGTGTCTTTGGGGTAGATACCCAGTAGTGCAATTGCTTGGTCATAGGGTAGCTCTATTTTTAATTTTTTGAGGAATCTCCACACTGTTTTCCAAAGTGGCTATATTAAATATGGTATATTAAAATGTAGGAAAAAGCCTTTCAATCACATGGTAAGAATTTTAACACATTACAAAAAGGTATATAGTGAAGTGTAAGACTTCCACTTCTGGCCCCTGGTTCTCCTTCAGGGAGATTACCATTGTTTCCTGTTTCCTTCCATACATAATCGTGCATATACAACATACATACTTTTTAGAAACAACACAAATGGGAGCATGCTAATTATTGTTTTGCACTTTCTTTCATTTAATGATGTATCTTGGAGATATAGGGACATAGAGATTAGGTTTTGTTTCCTAAGAACAAAGAGTACATGAGAAACATCCTTATTCATAAAGTTTTCACAGAAGTGTGAGTATGCAAGGACAGTTCATGATTCAGTTTCCAATGTGTAGAACTGGCCCTGTAGTTTGTTTAGGGGTGGATTTTCTGTAGAGTGGTCCCAAAGCTATTGTCTTTCTCTGCACAGAGACAAGCCATGAAAACGTGCTGATTCCTCCCTCCCTCACAACCCACTATGTTTTGCATTATCTCCTTTTGTTAAAAGTAATTGCTCATTAAACATTATGGGAACTTTAAGAGAACATAATTGCCTAGAGCCTTAGTGTCTCCAGTTGATTTTGATTGGAACGCTTTGGGTGCACGTGACCTTCGGCTGCTTCCTGTTTATTGGTTTCACCTTGGAATGATGAGCACGGACACAGGGAATGGCAGAGGAGGTACTGATTTTATCATTTGTACTGGTGTACAGAAATGGGTTTTGTGCTGTTGGTTACAGCTCTTGGAGGTCAGCATCCTAGTGTGGGTACCCCAGATTACTGGATCCCTGAGGAATTGTTTGTTAGGCCATCCTTCAAGGTGGGATGTTGCTTTTTTTAAAATAAAAAAAATGTAGAGAAAAAGAAACCAACAATTCAGACTAGAAAGGCTGTACAATTCCAAATTTCTAGTGTCTGTAAAACTAAACCACATAAATGAAAAGTGGCTTAGCCTTGAGAGAGGAGATGATCTCTGACCTCCAGAAGTGTTTTGTTTCTAAGAATCCCGTAATTGCAAATGCATCACAAGGAACTCTTCAGAGATCTCAATCTGACGCAAATAAAGTTTTCCACTCTTAAGAAATAAGTGGGCTGAGTTTTAGATACTAGATTAGATATTATCTTGAAAGGTAGGGAAAAACCAGAACTAGATTTCTGTGCAATTGGAAAACCTGCTTTGATGGAGCAGAGAAAGCCTTTTCTTTCAGACTCTAGGATGCCCTGTTTTATGGTTATAGAATAGAAGTTCGCAGACACTGTAGCTAGGTACTGTAAGTAGTAGTCCAGTGCCAGGAAGTCTCATGAGAAAGGCATTTTTGGGACTCCTTCACTCAAACTGTGTTGGCCTTCTGTGAGATGTTACCGTCCCTGAGCAGACATGCCAGGAATGCCAGCCATACAAAGCACCTGCTTTATTGACTTTGGGCAAAGAAAGGAGGAAGTCTTTTGGTTTTCTCATGATTGAAAAGGCCTACTCCTGCCTGCCCCGCCCCCCGCTCCCCCCTTAAATCCAGCAGTGGTGTGTGTGTGTAGGTAAGTATACACACTGAAGATGGGGATGGGATATTTCAGTGTAATATTTATTCAAAATGTGTTTAAGAGCCAGTGTTGGGACATAGACCTTCAGCTTTAAATATTACTTGAAGGCTTTCTCCCACATTTTTGCATTCTTTTGATTCATCTTAATTTTGAATTTTAAAATAAATTCTTAAGATGTCTGAGATTCTCAAGATTATTGCTCTTGAGTAGATTATTTACAGACATATGTAGAAAAATAGAAGAATTGAGGTCTCGAGAACCCTTAGAATTTTTTTTTAAGGTTTTATTTTTATTTTAGAGAGAGAGCACACGTGTGAGTGGGGGGTAGGGAGAGTGAGAGAATCTCAAGCAGATTCCTTGCTAAGTGGAACCTGATGCAGGGCTCCTCAAGGGGCTCGATCTCACAACCTGAGATCATGACCTGAGCTGAAACCAAGAGCCAGCCGCTTAACTGACTGAGCCACCCAGGCTCCCCTCATTAGAATTCTTCTTAATAATGATGGAATGTCATCGAGCAGAAGAATTTCAGCAGAAAGATTAAAAAGCCAAGTTGTACGGGCATCCCATGGAATGGAGATACCACAGAAGAGGCTTGCAGTGGCATAAATTTTGTTAGTTGTTGACTTGCATGTGGGAATAAATACTTTTTCTGAAATTATACATATAAGTAACCCAATTTAACTCTTCAAAGATTGCTTTTTTTTTTTTTTGTAATTGGGGAAATGTTTTTGTTGTTGCTTGAATGATGGGTGGGAATCTTCACTAAGTAGTTTTTAATATAGGAATGACAATGCTTTGTATGGGCACAATGAAAAATGAGATAGACTCTCTTCTTCAGCTCTTATTAGTTTGCCTTGATCTTTAGTGAATATGAGAAGCTTATATTCTTTTGTCCTTCTGCTAGACCAGTTCTTGTTTTTTTTTTTAATTGATGACCAGTCTCTGAGTTCACTTTTAGGCACTAATTGGTTATATCACTTATCTGTCATGTGCCTTAGTTTCCCCAAAGAAGCATATGAACCATTTTCCTGTAGTGCTCTCAAAATTAAGTTTGGATGATGAAGTTTTAATCATTAATTTCCATATATTTGCCTTATTAGTTAAAAAACTATTTCCAGGTTGTGCTCTTCTTTGCTTAGCCAGGAGTAAGGTGATAGGCAATTTTCAAAGCGTGATTAGTGAGCAAATATGGGCTACTTTGTTAAACTTCTACCTAGTTGATACATATCAGCTGTTGCTCATTTTTTACTCAGCCTTCCTCATTTTGGGGAAAGCTTTTTGTTACTTATAACTCCTTTATGAACCAAGCTATTATTTGTTTAAATGATGGGGTGGATTTTTAGTATGTGAAAACACTTTAACCCTTATGAAAGCTCATTTGAAATCAGCCGTTCCAGAGGATATTACTCACATGATTTTAAAATTTATGTGCCTGTTTTGTCTTTAAATGTCTGAAACCGTTATACCATTTGTGAATACTAATTTTTAAAATTTTAACCAGTCCATTTTATTGGCTTTGCCAATGTATTTATTACTTTTTTTCTTTTATAAAATGGGTCTAGAAATTGTGTTCTAAAGGAAAGCTATTGAACACAAAACCTTCCCTTCCAAACTAAGATCTCTGACCTAAAATAAGAATTTTGAGGCATGAAAGTCAATCTTCTGAGTCTTTCAAATTCTCGGGAAGCTTTTTACTGAAGTATTAAAATAACACATTTGTGCTGTTGCCATTCAGGAAAAGTTCCAGGTGGAGGGCAGATTTGGCTAGTGTGGAAAACCAGCTTCTGCATGCTTTGTGGTTCTTTGGTCTTGATCTTGAAGGCAGAGCTCATGTTAGTTCCTTATAGAATGCAAACAGATCTGGGTGGTAAAAGAGCTTCCATGCTGAATGAAGACCCAGGCCACTGTTCCTTCTGTTATTGTTGCAGTTCCCCAACCCTTTTCTACTTAACATTCTGGTTTAGTATTTGGAGCAAGGTGCCATTTAGGATTTCTACTATATTTCCATATTAAATTTTATTATTAGCAGGAACCTGTATGTGTGGGTGTATTTCAGCTTGTGGTCCACTGAGGTCTCAGGGTTGTCTTTCTGATACCCACAAAGGAATCACACTCTGAGCATACCCTTGCTGAAGTTTATCCTGATCCTTTCTAAATGTGAAATTGTACTGAAAGTTTTAACTTACTATTTGGCAAGCGAGTACTTTGTTTTTGACTGGTTTGTATGTGTTGTGTTTTGTTTTTTAACCTAGATTACCAGAGACTGATGACTGTGGCGGAGACAATTACAGCTCTCATGTTTCCTTTCCAGTGGCAGCATGTCTATGTTCCTATTCTCCCGGCTTCTCTCCTACATTTCTTAGATGCTCCTGTCCCATACCTGATGGGCTTGCATTCCAATGGCCTGGATGACCGGTCAAAGCTGGAGCTGCCTCAGGAGGTGAGAGGAATGTGGAGCTTGGGTGCTGGTGCCCCTGACCCCATTCTAGTATTGGAGAGAGAATGGCTTTGGGATGAGCCCAGGGTGGTGTCACAAAGCTTATTTTATTTTGAGGAACACAAATAACTTTCCATGAAAAAATGTAAAAACAATGAACATTTAGCTTAGTTTATGTCATTTGTCATCTTTATTATCGTGACATTACATTCATTGTAATCTCTGTGTTTATACTATCATGAATTGCCTTTTCCATATGCAGGTTTTCAAATATTTTATGTACTTCTCAAGACATTTATTAGGAAATCTTTTTTAGGGACGCTTGGGTGGCTCTGTTGGTTAGGTCTCTGACTGTTGATCTCAGCTCAGGTCTTGATCTCAGGGTCCTGAGTTCAAGCCTTGTGTTGGGCTCTGTGCTGGGCATGGAGCCTACTTAAAAAAAAAAAAAAGAAAAGAAAATCTTTTCATTCTGTAAAAAATATACATAAAAGAGTAGCATAATGAATTCCTGTGTTCTTAGCACCCAGCTTCAACAGTTATCATACATGTTAAATTGTATTTTACTTTTATACCTCCTACCCCCTATTATTTTAAGGAAATCCCACATAACATAATTCCATAATTATTTCATTACTCAGACCAATAAATCAGTAGGTTTCTCTTATAGGCCAAGTTTATCTGTAAAAGTTGACCTGATCATAATGATTCTTTTTTTTTTTTTTTTTAAGTGTGATATGTAGGTATTAAACCTCAGGCTTACCCACAGGGACTACTGAATTTATTTTATCTATTTTTATGTTTTTAAAGATTTTATTTATTTATCTGACAGAGGCAGAGATAGTGAGAGCAGGAACACAAGCAGGAGGAGTGGGAGAGGGAGAAGCAGGCTTCCTGCTGAGCAGGGAGCCCGATGTGGGGCTCAATCCCAGGACCCTAGGATCATGACCTGAGCCGAAGGCAGACGCTTAACGACTGAGCCACCCAGGCGCCCATGATCATAGTGATTCTTGTGATGCTGAGCCAGCTTTGAAAACTTCCCTTGTTCAAGATAAGACCTTGAGAGAATGCTTTTCCTCTCTTGCTGTGAGGATGGCCTGCTTCTTTCTCCTATTGTTTCAGATACCAAAAGAATTAATTAAAAATATGTATTTGTTTATTTCCTCTTTATTCTAAAGCAGATTTAAAGCATGATTAAAATAAGATTGTTTTATTTTTCTAGAATTACCCAAAGAACTGGTCTACCTTTTTATGTCATTTTGTGGCTGGTATGAAACCATTTGGAAGAAAGGTTTTCATATTCTGAATTTCTTAGTCATTAGAAAGGCCTGGGAACAAGATTTTGGAGTATACATACACTGGTGTTACATGGCTCTGTTTCCTCCCTCCTCCAAATGTTTATGGAGGGAGGTTTTTGCATAACTAAGTAATATTAGTAAGGAAACCTCCAAAGGAGCACGGTCCCATGGAATTGGATCTGAGGCTCACTCATGTTGTTGGGCATGTCTGGGCAGCATCCTTGATGAAACCCTGATAGATCACACCTGTAATATTTACATTATAGTCAGATGCATTTCTACTTTTCCTTTCTCCTTTGGTTTTAGAAGCAAAATGTCCTCCTTGTAGCTTCTTCCCTTTCCACCTCCTTTGCTGCTTTGATTTTATAGAGCTTTGTGTTGTTTGGAGTGGGACAAGATTAATTAAGGAGGAAAAGATCTAAATGATGGAGAAAATTATTGAGTTGGGGTATTGGGTTTTTATATATATTTGTTTTACTGATAAATGTATATGAAGAGTACATATCAAAGTTTGGAGAATGGAAACATGCATATTTAAATTGACACACCTTCAGAATAAATCTATCATTTCGTAAAGTCAGAATAAGAATAACAGCAAAAAATGGTTGAGGTAGAGAGCTAAAGAGGCATGCTACATACCAGTGTAATATGTAGGTCACTAGGCAAGAAGCCAGTTTTCTCAGTTTTATTTTCATATTTAGCATCAGCTTGCTGTATATTTGGGGCAAGTTCTGTTCCCTGTAGGATCCCTCAGCATCGTTCTTTGGGTGCCTCATGTTGGTGGGTGTATGAAGAGGCTGCTAGGAGACCAGCAGTTTTCTTAATGGGGGACTCAGTGGGACTGTTTGAGAAACCAAGGGTTGTTTGAGAAACCCAAAAGTTCACTCTGTTCTGGGTATTGGGGTCTCTGCTTTTGCGGTAGTCTCCATCATTGCTACATCCTTTGCGTCTCCCTGTGGTCTGGGAAGGAGAGGTGACAGTGGAACTGAGGAATACCTGTGCATACTTAATAAGCAATTCTCGGGTTTCAGAGTCCCACTTCATCCAGACTGTCCCTTTGAAGGTCACATATTTATGCAGGTTGTTTCATAGCTGGATATTTACCTTGATTTTTAGCAGATAACCTGTAGAATACCTGAGCCTGTGTAGTCCCTCTGGGGAACTATAGACTGGGGAGAACTTTCTCAAGGAGTAAAGGGCCCTGAAAGGTGTGCATAATGAGTAAAGACTAATAATATCTCTGAAAGACAACTTTGGGATGTGTCACAAATTATATATATATATTTTAAGATTTTATTTTTAAGTAATCTCTACACCCAACGTGGGACTCAAACTTACAATCCCGAGATGAAGAGTCACATGCTGTACCAGTCAGGCCAACCAGGCGCCCCATAAGTGATACATGTTTCTAGTAAAAAATTCTAAAAGTGCACAAAAGCATAAAAATAAAGTAAAAATGACTTCAGATTTTACCACCCAGAGATAAACTACTTTTAACATTTTGATGGACATCCTGTGATATCTTTATGCAGCTAGAAAGAGGTTTGAGGCAGAACTGGGGAAAATCTCCTGGGCCTCTGCAAGGGTGCATCATTAGGATGGTGGGGCAAGCTTGATTTATAAAAGGGACTTTCTCTAGGGGGCACCTGGGTGGCTCAGTCATTAAGTGTCTGCCTTCGGCTCAGGTCATGATCCCAGGATCCTGGGATCGAGTCCCGCATAGGGCTCCCTGCTTAGCGGGGAGTCTGCTTCTCCCTCTCCCTCTGTTGCTCCCCCTGCTTGTGCTCTCTCTGTGTCAAATAAATAAATAAAATCTTAAAAAAAAAAAAAAAAGGACTTTCTCTAGAGGGGTGAAGATTGTACATTTCTTAGATCCCAAATTCATCAGTTGCCACCCCATCTTGGGGCATCAGAAATCTATGAAAAAGCCCTTTGTTCCTTTTTATACAAACACATGAGCTCAGCTGTCCCTGAGCAAGGGAAAGTGCTGAGCTGCCTTTGTGAGGCATTCTTTGTCCTGTGCGTCTCTTTTGGGTTTCAGTCCAGGAAGGAGGCAGTTTGTCCACAGCTATGTCAGGGGAAACAGGCAGAGGATATTAGAGTAAAGAAGAGGGTGTTACTTCTTTCTATCTTGGGTCCTTCTTTCTTTCCTACTGTTTTTTTTCCTTTCTCAAAATACTCCTTCAGTAGCTTTTCCCAGTAACATATGTGTTGAGCTCCCCTTCAGTGAATAGCATGGAGATAGACTAGGGGTGAAGCTGGCTGTGATTTGGTATTAGGAACTCAGGGCTGGGAAGGAGCATTGTGACCTCTTGCAGGAAAAGATTTGGAAGACTTTGTGGGATTTTGGGGATCCATGTGGTTACTACCCCAGAGCAGCTAAGTCTTCCCATGGCCTCGCCCAACAAGGCAGGAGGTTAAATGATTCATCAGTCTTATATAATACCCAGTGCTCATTACATCGTGTGCCCTCCTTAATGTCCAGCACCCAGTTACCCCATCCCCCCAGCATCCTCCCCTCCAGCAACCCTCACTTTGTTTCCTATGATTAAGAGTCTCTTATGGTTGATCTCCCTCTCTGATTTTGTCGTCTTGTTTTTTTTTTTCCTCTCTTCTCCCTTCCGCTCTAGTTCCATCCACGTCATTGCAAATGGCAAGATTTCTTTTTTTTTTTTGATGGCTGAGTAGTATTCAATTGTGTATATATACCACATCTTCTTTATCCAGTCATCTGTCGATGGACATTTGGGCTTTTTCCATAGTTTGGCTATTGTGGACATTGCTGCTATAAGCATTGGGGTACATGTGCCCCTTTGGATTCAGAAAGTAGTGAATTTTAAAACTATTTTTCTTCTAATCTTTTTATCTTAGATATGGGAAAGTTCTCTTTTTTTATTGTGGATTGGTAGATGGACTAGTTTATGCACCCAGCAAGTGTTTATTGAATGAATGCATGCATGGACATGTTAAAACATGCAGTTTTAATAGATTGAGAGTTTGTGGAGTAGTTATATTTAGCTAGACTTATGTCATCCTCCCACCTCTTCTTTTAGATTACAAGACTTATTTATTGGTACAGGTAAAAATAGAAGGATCAGTGGATCAGCACTTTGATATACAATAGAGGTACTATCCCAAAGGAGGGACTGTTTAATAATGGAGCTGGAAAAATTATTTGTCTAAAAGGGAAAAAAGTAAAAGGATCCTTACCTTCCACTATAACAAAATCAACTTGAGATGGATTAAGAAGTTATAAAATCAAGAGCAAAAGTTTAAATCTTCTAAAGATAATAAGTACATTTCTGACCTCTGAGTAGGGACTTTATAAACAAGATACAGAAAGTACTATCCCTAAAATAAAAGATTGATAAATTTGATTTTTAGTAAAAGGCAAAAAGTTTATGTGGTCTGAAGAGAAACCAGAGTATAAATTTGATTTTTTAAATTAAGAGAAAGACATCTTAAATGGAAAATGATAAAAACTAAAAGATATGTGACACATATAACCTACAAAGAATTAGCATCAGGAGATTGTAAAGAACTTGTACAAACCAGTAAGATGATAAGCAGCCCAGTAGAAAAATGGGCTAAAGACATGAACAAGTATTGCACAAAAATTGCACATTTTTTTCACTAGCAACCAGACAAGTATAAATTAAATGCACCTATTTCAGTGGCAAACTTAAGAAATCTGATGATACCAAGTTGTGGTAGGATTTTAATCAGTAGATTGCTGATAAAAATGTAAATTTTTATGACCACTTTGGACACAGGTAGGCATTATCTTACAAGGTTGAATGTTTGCATAGCTTACGACACAGCAGTTCCACTCCTAGGATACAGCCAAGAGAAGATCTTGCACATGTGTCCAAGAAAACATGTAAAAATGTAAAAGCAATAAAGAAGAAAGAACTTAAATGCCCTTTAATGGGAAAATTAATAAATAAATTGTGCTACATCCACACAGCAGAATATTATACAAGAATGAAAATGGATATCATATAGCTACATATAAGAAAATGGCTGAATCTTAGGAACCTCATATTGAGTGAAGAAAAATAGCAGTACCACAACACTACTTAAGGAATGGCAATTCTTTCATAAATTTAAAAAACAAACACTTAAAGGCATATATATGTGATAAATTGTAAAACAAAGGGCAAAAAGGTAATAAATAGAGAATTCTGGATCGTGGTTACCTGGGGATGGGAATGTGTAGGTTGGAGGATGGGATGGGGGAGGAGTGTATAGGTAGATAAAGTATTGGTAATGTTCTAGTTTTTGGATTGCCCAGGAAGAAAATGTCTTTAAGATTGTCCCCAGAAAGTTTTCATTTTATATTCCTAATAACAGTGTATGAGATACTTGTTTTCTAGTAATTTGGCCAGCATTGGACTTTATAAATCTTATAGATCTTTGCCAACCCAGTAGGTAAAAAATATTTTGTCTGTATTTCTTGGATTATTAGCAAAATTGAACAACTTTATCTGTGTGTGTGTGTGTATATGTATATACACACACATTTAAAGCTTTATTTATTTGAGAGCACAAGAGAGAGTGTGTGTGAGTTGGGGGAGGAGCAGAGGGAGAGGGAGAGAGCGAATCCTCAAGCAGACTCCCCCTGAGCATGGAGCCTGATGCAGGGCTCTATCCCAGGACCCTGAGATCATGACCTGAGCTGAAATCAAGAGTCAGCAGCTTAACTGAGTGAGCCACCCAAGCACCCCCATCTTTTCATATATTTGAAGTTAATTAACTGAAAGTTCTTCTGTGTTTGCTTTCCATAACGAGTTCCCACTTTTCAGTTGGGTGGATTATTTTTGTTTCAGTGCTTTCTTTGGCTATTAACCTTGTGTTATGTATGGCAAATACTGTTTCCTAGATTGTTTATCTTTTAATTTTTTTATGGCAGTATTTACCTTTATGGTTTTTAGCCTTGTATAAAGTTTTAGAAAGCCCAACTCTACCTTAACATAGAGCAGTGATCTTTTATAGTTGTGTTAATACTTTGTGGGTTTATTTAACTTTTTAAACTTTTTGTTATGGAAAATATGAATTACATATAAGAGTAAAGAGACTAGCATCCATCATTCTGTGATAATCATCAACTCATGGCTACTCTTCTTTCTGTATTGACCTCCCTGTCCTCACTCATTCTACTGGATTATTTTTTTTTGTTTTTTTGTTTTTTTGATCAAAGATTTTATTTGTTTGACAGAGAGAGACACAGCGAGAGAGGGGGCACAAGCGGGGGAGTGGGAGGGAGAAGCAGGTTTCCCGCGGAGCAGGGAGCCCCATGCGGGGCTCGATCCCAGGACCCTGGGATCATGACCTGAGCCGAAGGCAGACGCCCAACGACTGAGCCACCCAGTCGCCCCTCTACTGGATTATTTTTAAACAAACCTCACACAGCAGTGTTAATGTCAATCAAATATATTCAGTATCTATCGCTAAAAGATACTCTTTTTAAGAAAATAGAATGGCTTTATTTTTTATATTTAAATCTTCAATCTATCTCATTTATTTATGGTATTCTATTTTAACATTTCTAAATGTATAGCCGTTTGTCCCGAAAACATTTATTGAATGATCCATCCACATACATGGGTCTGTTCAAGACTCTTCTTTTCCAACAGATTATTATTTTATGTTTATATTAGAATTCAGTAAGGCAAGTGTTTTCTCAAAAATTTTTTGGCTATTTTATTCTTTCAGGCAAGATTCGGAATTAATTCATCAGACACTCCCTTCAAAAAAAAAATCTTTCTGGAATTTTGAAAAAAATTTACATTAAATTTACAAATAAGTAGGGTGATTATTAGCATCTTTTCAATGTGAAATTTTCCTATCATATATTATTGTTATATATGATATCCATTCATTGAAGTTTTTATCTTCCACAGTAATAATAACAATGTTAATTAGCATTTGTTATGTACTATGGGCCTGAACATTTATTGTCTCATAATCCTCAAATTTATGGCATAGGTAACATTATCATTTCTGTTATATGAACAAAACAGAAACACTTTTTTTTTTAAGTTTCAGAGGTAGAATTTAGTGATTCATCAGTTGCATGTAACACCCAGTGCTCATGCCATCAAGTGCCCTCCTTAATGCCCATCACCCAGTTACCCCATCCCCCCATCCACCTCTCCTCCAGCAACCCTGTTTGTTTCCTAGAGTTAAGAGTCTTTTGTGGTCTCCCTCTGTGTTTTCATCTTATTTTCTTTTTCTTTTCCTTCCCTTCCCCTATGTTCATCTGTTTTGTTTCTTAAATTCCACATATGAGTGAAATCACAGTATTTGTCTTTCTCTGACTGACTTATTTCACTTAGCATGATGCCCTCTAGTTCCATCCATGTCGTTGGAAATGGCAAGATTTCATTCTTTTTGATGGCTGAGTAACATTCCATTGTGTGTATCTGTGTGTGTGTTTGTGTGTGTATCTTTATCCATTCATCTGTTGAAGGACATAAAACAGAAACGCTCTTTTTTTTATTTCTGTATTATGTTTAATTCATTCAGCAAATTTCAGATCCCTTTTTTTAGATCAGTGGTTCTCAAACTTTTTTTTTTTAATTAACATATGATGTATTATTTGTTTCAGGGGTTCAGGTCTGTGATTCATCAGTCTTACATAATAACCCAGTACTCATTACAACACATACCCTCCCCAATGTCCATCACCCAGTTACCCATCCCCCCACCCCCCTCCCCTCCAGCAACCCTCAATTTGTTTCCTAAGATTAAGAGTCTCTTACGGTTTGTCTCTCTCTCTGGTTTCATCTTGAAACAGAAACACTCTTAAGCATATAATAATGCGCTGCAGTGAAGGAAATGATAGTTGTCTTGGCTAGACAGGCTCATGGTTATAAGAGAAATATTTTTTTTAAAAGGCTTTTCTAATTTATAGCTATAAGGAAATACCAGTAGGGACAGGAGTTATAAAATATTTAAATTAAATTGAACAAGAAATGTGTAGGGACATGTAAGGACAGGAGCGCAGAGGGTTAAGAGCTTGAGCGTATGTCTAAGTCAGGCTAGCTCAGTTCAAATCCCAGTTCTACTTACTAGCTGTGTGACTTTGAACAAGTTACTTAACCTCTCTGTAACAGTTTTTGTCTGTAAAATAAGAGTAGATAGATATTGCCAAGTTTTTCTTTGTTAATCAATACTACCTGCCTCACCAGCAGTGTATGACAGTGCTGTCTCTGTACATCCTTTCAGAAGCAGCCTCAAAGCCAGAACAAAGCACAGAAATAATTAAGACCAGCCACCAAATCTTAACAAATTAAAACTAAGGCTCAAAGGGATAATGGTATGCTCAGGGTCATATAGGGAGATACTGTGCTGGAGTCAGACCTGGAACCTAGACTTTCTGACTCACTCCTGGTGTTCTCTTTACTACTATAAGAATTCATGAATTCAACAAACATTTTATGAGCATTTACTATATGTCTCTTTTGTAGTGACTTTTGTGCTAGGTGCTCAATATCTGTGTCATCACAGAATCCTTAACACTCTCTAAGATAACTGTTTTTATCTCTTTATTTCCATTTTATAATTGAGGACACTGAATCAGAAAGGTTAAGTAACTTTCCCGAGAAAGTGGCAGGGGAAGATTGGAACTTAGGTCAATTTCCTTTCTGAGCCCCATTTCTTTATATTGTATCTCATACATGCCAATTTCAGATATTTCCTCTTCTCTCTCTTGTTCATTATCCTTTCTAAACCTTCTTCCTTCCTAATGCTCTCAATGCTCTGGAGTTGTTCACACTCATCCTGTTTTGGTTGCCAGGCTAACCTCTGCTTTGTGGACATTGACAACCACTTCATTGAGCTGCCAGAGGACCTGCCTCAGTTTCCCAACAAGTTGGAGTTTGTCCAGGAAGTCTCTGAGATTCTCATGGCATTTGGCATTCCCCCTGAAGGGAACCTTCATTGCAGCGAGAGTGCCTCCAAGCTGAAGAGGCTCCGGGCCTCTGAGCTTGTCTCTGACAAGAGGAATGGGAACATCGCAGGCTCCCCTTTGCATTCCTATGAGCTCCTCAAGGAGAATGAAACTATTGCCCGGCTGCAGGCCTTGGTCAAGAGGACTGGGGTGAGCCTGGAAAAGGTAAGATGCTGTATATGAATTTTTGACAGGTTTGGTCTGTACGAGGGGGCTGTCCTGGTGAAATTATAGTGTGAGATAAGAAAGCACCTAGTCCAGGGCAAGGCTTATTTGTGAGCCTTGGAAGAAGGCTCTTGGATGGGAGACTCTGGATTCAGCTCTGGCAAACATTATCTTAGGAAATGCTATTTAAATCTAAATTTGGATAGCTTCTCACCTGAGCATCAAGGAGAGCTTGCTGTCATTCTTTGTGAACACTATAGCAGAGTGACTTGGAGGGAGGACAGTGGTAATTTTTGTATTCAGACCTCTTCCAAATCCATTGCCCTGTGAGTTTCACGGCAACCTACAGCATGCAGAGCAGGTATTGTTAACACTGTTTTATAGCTCAAGAAACCAAGGCTAAGAGAGCCCAAGATTAAATGTCTAGTATGTGACTGAGCAGAGGCTAGATCCTGGTCCTCCTGAATGCTAGTCCTATGCGCTTTCCAGGCTGAAGTTAGCTTTCCATCTCCCGACTTTGATAAGACTATCAGCTTTCTGTAGTTTTTTTACCCATTTCTTCACACTCCCCCATTCTCACTGTTAAGTTATTTTTGTAAATTACATATAAGCAGAATGGGCCAATGTAATCATTTTGTTGGGCTGTTTTTTTTAGTAAAGTGTGAAACATTTCATTTTCCTGTTCTATTTAGTTAGGAAAGCAGATATTTTTTAAAAATCATGGCTAAACAGGAGCAGAGGAATATTTAGAGAGGTTAAAACAGACACAGTAAGGAGAAATTCTTAGGGAGATAGATAAGATCAGTGATGTGGGGGAGAAAATCAAAGAGATGAAGGGAGAGCCAGAGTCTGACTTTGTTGCTTTGCATTATCATTTTCTCATTGACTTTCCAGATTTCCTCCTTTTCCTGACCCTTGAGATAAGTGGCAGCTTTTCCTCTATTGCTGAATCTCTGCCCATAATGATCTTATTTCTACTATCATTTCCTGGGTACCTGCAAGTGCCAACACCCTCATTTTTCTCTTGTGTGTGTCAAAATTCCTTTCATTTTTTTTCTTTTGTTTCTTTTCTCCATTTTCTGCGAAGTAATGACCACTGTTGGGGGAAGGTGCGGGGAAGGTAGGAGGAGGTGGGGGACAGATGAGTTGCATTTTTTTGGGATAAAGAAAAAGGTTATACGCTGTGTCTGTCTCTGTCAAATAAATAAATAAAATCTTTAAAAAAAAAGAAAAAGGTTATATATTCAGCTGTTTTTTCTTTTTTTGTAGCTGGAAGTGCGTGAAGACCCCAGCAGCAATAAGGATCTGAAGGTTCAGTGTGATGAGGAAGAACTCAGGATTTACCAGCTAAACATTCAGATCCGCGAAGTTTTTGCAAATCGTTTCACTCAGATGTTTGCAGACTATGAAGTGTTTGTCATTCAGCCCAGCCAGGATAAGGAGTCCTGGTTTACCAACAGGGAGCAGATGCAAAACTTTGATAAAGTGAGTAATCCTGCTGGAGAGGTGGTGAGGAATGAGAACATGCCAGAGCCTTTTGGATATTTAACTGAAGATGAGTTTTCTTGCATTGTATGCTGGAAACAAGTTCATAATCCTTGTGATGTTGATGAAATATAAGATCTTGCTTTAGAACAGAGTCCTGGTTATTACCATCAGGTGATTTACCTTGAGTCTGAGAGCTCTCTTAGGCTAAGGTGCACATGCAGGTTGAGCATCAGGATTCTGGGAAGATCGGTTGCCACAGTAGGTTACCTGAGTAAGTTTGGGCTAGTGTGTCAAAGTTTCACGATGTTTGAAATTATATGAGTGTTAAAAACAAAACAAAACAATGAAGAGATTTTGCTGTTTGCTTTTCATAAAGACCTGGGAAACTTCAGAGAAAAATTAACCTACTGGATCCCTTGGGTGTGTTGCCTTTGCTGGTTAAGGCTGATACACCTGCTTCGCTCTTCCCTGTCAATGACTGTGTTTCCTTTTGGTCCCACCAGGCATCTTTTCTGTCAGACCAGCCTGAGCCATATCTGCCCTTCCTCTCAAGGTTCCTAGAGACCCAGATGTTTGCTTCTTTCATTGACAACAAAATCATGTGTCATGACGATGATGATAAAGACCCCGTGCTCCGGGTATTTGATTCCCGAGTAGACAAAATCAGGCTGTTGAATGTTCGGACACCTACTCTCCGCACATCCATGTACCAGAAGTGCACCACTGTGGATGAAGCAGGTGAGGCCTTCTTGGTGCTGTCCTTGCCTTGGATTTTGTCACTAAGGTGTCCCTGTGCCTAAACATGCCAGCTTCTCTCCCTGTTTCTGCTTTTGTGTAAATTACTCCCATAGCCTCCCCCCTTTTTTTGCCTGGCAAACTTCTTCTCCTTTCACACTGTGTCAGTTAGGAGTGGATCCTGCTATAAGTAATAGAGAATTTAATCAGCTTTGGGTTAGACGGATGGGGGTTATTTTTCTCAAATTAGTAAGAAATGCAGAATTAGTGGTTTTGGTGTTGGCTCAGTTGCTCAGCAGTGTAATTAAGAACTGAAATTCTATCTTTTCACTCAGTTATCCTTAACATATTGACTTTTATATTCATACTTGTTGCTTCATGGTTACAAGAGGCTTTTTATGTTCACATTCAGGGCAAGAAGAGGGGAAGGTTGATACCAGTGGTATTTTCCCTCTTGTATCAGAAAACTAAAGCTTTCCCAGAAATTCCCAATAACTTCTGTTGTCTCATAGGCCATGACCATGTTATATGACCACCCTTAAGTGCAAGGGAGGCTGTGAAAGTGAGTATTGAACTGGGTGTAATGTTACCCTGAACAATATCAGGGCCCTATTAGCAAGAAAGAAGGGGTGAATGAGTTATGATTAGGCACTTGACAGTATTTGCCACAAAAACTTAGGTGAAATGTCTTTTCCTCTGAGGACCTCAGGCTGAGTCCGTGGATTCCCCCTCTGTGCTCCTGTGATGCTTTGTTCTTGCCTCTTCTCTATAATCTCTATTAGTTTGAGCTGTTATTATCAGGGGAAAATTTAAGAGCAGAGACTATTTACTCATTTTCCTGCCCCTAATCTGCTAGTATTGGCCTAACACATACAGATGTTAAAAGTTGTTTGCTACGTGCGTGATTGAAAAGACCTTTTTGTTCACAGAGGCCCTATCTAGATCAGCTTAGCTAGAGAATAGTCTCATTTGAGGTGTCACGTTAAGTAGTATGTTCACTTCCTTGTGGGTTGTTCAGTGTCCTTGTTGGAGCCTTTTGTATATTTTGTTCATTCATTTACCAAATTGTATAATACCTATTACATGCTCAACATACAGTAAGTGTTCAACAGATATTTACTGGGTGAATGAATGTGCCAGGCATTTTTCTAGGTTTTGAAGATGAAACTGGTGACAATTAAAAAAAATTTTTTTTAGATTTTATTTGAGAGAGAGAATGAGTGCACGAGTGCATGCACACGAGTGTGAGGAAGAGCAGAGGGGGTAGGGAGTGGGAGGGGGAAAGAATCACAAGCAGACTGCACTGAGCATGGAGCCTGATGTGGGACTCAGTCTCACGACTCTGAGATCCTGACCGGAGCTGAAATCAAGAGTCGGATGCTTAACTGACTGAGCCACCCAGGTGCCCCAAAACTGGTGACAATTTGGACAGAGTCCTTTCTTTGTCAAACTTATGTTCTCTAGCCTTCTCTCTTTACCTTTCAACTCTTGTTCCAGGCTTTTCATTAAGATGACATGAGGACATGTTGCCTATGCAAGTGGATTACTCTAACATAGTCATGCCTGCCTCCTGGAACACATCAGGCTTTGTATTCCTGAACCCTGCCTAAGATTTTGGTCCTGGGAAGTTTGATGGAGATTTTTTTTAAAGAGTGTCAGTTTAGAGAAACGTCTCCCAAGCCATCAGTTAAATCAGGACTTCCCAATCTTTGCATGTTGTGTTACACTTGAAAATGATAATATTTGTATATGATTCACTGAAATAAAGGGAGGAGTTTGTGTATAGCTAAAGGCTATAAAATTAGAAGCTCTAGTCACTTGAGGCCTTGCCCATCTGCCGCAAGGGTCTAGGCAATCAATTCTCAGCCCATCTGTAATCCATTTGTTGAACACCAAGCACTGCAGCATATGGATTTAAATTACTCTGGTCTCAGTTGTGGCCAGAGCACATGTTCTTATGGGCTTGTTAGAATGTGGGGTTTAGGATATGGAAGGAGGGTCACCTAACCCTCATTTGTATGACTCATTTCAGAAAAATGGGTGTCACAGACCCTTTGGCAACTCTGTGCTCTGCTCTTAGGAATAATGGCAATATTTTAGGTATGCCCTAGAGAGATGTACTCCAAATATGCGAGAGCAGGGTTCTTGCCACTGGTCTCAGATCCCTAGCCTGGAGGACTAGTTCAGTCACCTCACTCCATCTCACATCTCACACCTCAACTTCTTGAAGCAATCTGATTGGAAAATGGTAAAAACATAACTAAAAGGATTTTTTTTCTTAAAGTTTTTATTTTTAAATTTTTTATTACTATGTTCAGTTAGCTAAAAGGATCTTTTTGGAGATCTTTTAAAATGCTACATTTAAAAGGGATCTTGATGGCAATCAATTGTTCTAACCCACTAATTTTATAGATAAAGATGTTCCTTTGATTCACCATTGTATCTGCAGGGCCTAGAATAGTACCTGGCACATTTTAGACACTGAATAAGTTCTGTTGAATGAGAGTAAGAGCGGGAAGAAGTGAGGGAGGCCCAAAATGAGAAGGTGACTTGACCTAGGATAACATCAAGACCCAAAGGCTGAGGTGTTTTTATATGACTCTAGGAAATACCAAGAGGGTTACCAGCTTTTTTTGTTCATACTCTTTAATTTTTTTTTTTTTTTTAATTGGTCGGCTTGGCTCATGACTCACACCAATCTAGAGGTGCTACAAATATGAGGGCTGGAGGTGTGGTGAGAAACAAAGTGCACATGAGCCTGTTCCTCCTCCCAACCTGTAGGTAGGCTCCCACAGATTGGTCCAGGTTATGAACCCTTCAGGACTCACTGTGCTCACAGGTGGGGACCTGCCTTATTCTTTAAAATTTTTGAAGTTTAGGGGTGCCTGGGTGGCTCAGTTGGTTGAGTATTTGGCTTCGGCTCAGGTCGTGATCTCGGGATCCTGGGATCAAGCCCCAAGCTGGGCTCCCCGCTCATCAGGGAGTCTGCTTTTCCTTCTCCCTCTCCCTCTAACCTTCCCCTCAGCTTGTGCTCTCTCTCTCTCAAATAAATACATAAAATATTAAGAAAATATTTTTCTGGGCACAGCTGGGTGACTCAGTCGGTTAAGCGTCTGCCTTCTGCTCAGGTCATGATCCTGGGGTCCTGGGATTGAAGTTCAGCAGGCTCCCTGCTCAGCGGGGAGCCTGCTTCTCTCATTGCCTACCACTCCCCCTGCTTGTGCACTCTCTCTCATAAATAAATAAATAAAATCTTTAAAATTTTTTTTCTGAAGTATAATTGACATATAAGAAAACTGCACATACTTAAAATTTTGATATATGTTTAAATTTATATCAAGAACAAGCAAATACACCCATTACCCTCAAAAGTTTTCTCATGGCCTTTTGTAATACCTCCAACCTGTCCCCTCCCCATTCTCTCCCCAAATCCTGAGGCAACCAGTGCTATGATTTCTGCTACTATAGAGTTCATTTTCTAGAAGTTTATATAAATGGAATCACACAGTATGTTTTTGTTGTTGTTGTTTTTTAGTTTGGCTTCTTTTACTCTGCATAATTATTTTGAGGTTCATTCATATTCCCTTTATTGCTGAGTAGTATTCCATTGTATGGATATTACTGAAGTTTGTTTATTTACCAGTTGGTAGGCATTTGGGCTATGAACATTTGTTTACATGTTTTCCTTTCCCTTGCATAAATACCTAGGAGTGGAATGACTGGATCATGTGATATTTGTATGTTGACTTTTTTAAAGAAACTGACAAATTGTCTTTCAAAGTGGTTGGTTGTACATTTTATATTCCCACTAGTAGTGTATGACAGTTATAGTTACTCTACATTGTTGCCAACATTGAGTATGGTCAGTCTTTTCCATTTTAGCCGTTCTACTGGGTTTGTAGTAATACCTCATTGTGGTTTTGATTTGGGTGTTCCTGATGACAAATGATGTTGAACATTTTTCCGTCTGCTTATTTGCCATTCATTCATTTCATCTTTTCTGGTGAAGTGTCTCCCCCCCACCTTTTTGGGTTTTTTTTGTTTGTTTTTTGAGTTTTGAAAGTTGTTTTTATATTCTGGATACAAGTCCTTTATCAGATATATGATTTACATATATTGACCCTACTCTGTGGCTTGTCTTTTTGTTCTCTTAACAGTGGTTTTTTAAGAACAACATTTTAAATTTTGAAGAGGACTGAATTATCAGTTTTTTAAAAAATGGATCAAATCTTTAAAAAAAATGGGGTGCCTGGCTGGCTCAGTTGGTAAAGCATGAGATTCTTGATCTCAGGGTTGTGAGTTTGAGCCCCATGTTGGGTATAGAGATTAAAATTCTTAGGGAGAAAATCGATTATACTTTTGATATTATATGTAAGAAATTTTTGCTTAACCAAAGTCACAGATTTTTTTTTCTCTATATCTCTTTCTAGAAGTTTTATGTTTTCAGGCATTATATTTGGGCCTATGATCCATTTCAAGTTAATTTTTATAGATAGTGTAAGCTAAGGACCCAAGGTCATTTTTTCCATGTGGATATCCACTTGTTCCAGCATCACATGTTGAAAAGAATATCCTTTTTTTTTTTTTTTTTTAAATTATGTTCTGTTAGCCAGCAAGGACTATCCTTTCTCCAGTGAATTGCTTTCTAACCTTTGTCAAAATATCCGTGATCTATATACATGTGGGTCTATTTCTGGATTCTCTGTTCTCTTTCATTAATCTTTTAGTCTCCATTTACATCAGTACCACATTGTCTGGATTACTGTAGCTTTATATGAAATCTTGAAGTCAGGTAATGTTAGTCCTCCGACTCTATTCTTCTTTTTCAAAGTTGCTTTGACTATTCTGGGCTCTTTGTATTTCATATATATATAGGATCAGCTTACCAATTTTCACAAATAATCTTCTGAGATTTTAATTGAAATTGCCTTGAATCTATAGATAATTTAGGGAGATTTGACAGCTTAACGTTATTGAGTTTTCTGATCTGTGGACATGGCATATCTCTCCATTCATTTAGGTCATTTAGGTCTTCTTTAGTTTCTCTCAGCAGTGTTATATAGTTTTCACTGTGCAAGTTTTGCCTATCTTTTGTCAGATTTATCTTTTAAGTATGTCATATTTCTTGGTATTTTAATTTCTGATTGTTCATGGCTAATACTTAGAAATACGAGTTCTGTATATTGATATGTGCCCTACAGCCGTACTATATTATTTCTAGTAGTTTTTTGTTCATTCTAGCAGATTTTTCTACATAATCATATTACCTGCAAATAGTGATAGTTTTACTTTTTCCTTTTCAATCCAGATGTCTTTTCTTTATCTTAACCATATTGCACTGGCTAGAACCTTTACTACAGTGTCAAATAGACGTGGTGATAGTGGACATTGTTGTCTTATTCCTGATTTTAGGGGAAAGCATTTACCATTAAGTATGATGTTAGCTGTAGGTTTTTCAATGGATATCTTTTTTTTTTTTAAGATTTATTTATTTATTTTGAGAGAGAAAGCAAGCAAGCATGTGGAGGGGAAGGGGCAGAGGGAGAGGGAGAGAGAGAATCTCGAGCAGACTCCCCACTGAGCACGGAACCCAACATGGGGCTCAATCTCGCTACCCTGAGTTCATGACCTGAACTGAAATCAAGAGTTGGATGCTTGACTGACTGAGCCACCCAGATGCCCCTCAGTGAATATCTTTTATTAGATGGATACTTGTTTCTGTTACTAGTTTGTTGAGAATTTTTATCAGAAGTGGATGTTGTATTTTGTCAGATGCTTTTTCTGCATCTGTTGAGGTAATTATACGGTTATTAGATTTAGTTTTTTAATTTGGTGAATGACGACATTCATTGATTTTTGAATGTGTAAATCAACTTGAATTCCTGAAATAAACTGTATTTGGTCATGATGTATTATCCTTTTTGTATATTATTGGATTAGATTTACAAAAATTTTGTTTAGGATTTTTGCATCTATGTTCATGAGGGATATTGGTTCATAGTTTTTTTTGGTAATATTTTGGTCTGATTTGGTATCAGGATAATGCTAGCTTCAAAGAATAAGTTGGCAAGTATTCTTTCCTCTTCAGTTTCCTTGAGAGCTTGTGTAACTGATACTATGTCTTCTTTGGATGTTTGGCAGAATTCATCAGTGAAGCCATCTGGGCCTGGAGTTTTTTGTGGGAAGGTTTTGAATTACAGATTCGGGGATCTGTGGCTGGCTCAGTCAGTAGAGCAAGTGACTCTTAATCTCAAGGTTGTGCATTCAAGCCCCACACTGGGTGTGGAGCCTACTAAAAAAATAAAATAAAAAATAAACTACAGATTCAATTTTTAAAATAGATATAAGGTTATTCATATCTGTTTCTTCTTAAATGAGCTTTTGCAGTTTGTGTTTTTCAAGGAATTTCTCCATCTAACCTATTGTTAAATTTGTTGACATTAAATTATTTGAATATTCCTTTATTAATATCCGTGGAATCTGTAGCAATGTCACCTCATTCCTGATAATGTTCATTTGTGTCTTTTACTTTTTATCCCGACCGGACTTTTTTTATTAGTTTTACTGATCTTCTGAAAGAACCACTGTTTGGATTTTTAATTTTCTCTGTTTGCTGTTTCACTGATTTTATTCTGGCCTTTATTTTTTCCTTTCTTGTATTTGCTCTGGATTTAATTTCCTTGTCTTTTTCCGGTTTCTTAAGGTGGAAGCTGAGGTCATTAGTTTGAGACCTTCCTTTTCTAAAATAGGTATTTAGTGCTGTAAATCTCCTTTCGAGTAATATTTTAATGACATATGCTGATATTTTGTGTTTTCATCTTTATTCAGTTTCAGAAAACTTTCTCTTTTGATTTCTTTTTGACCCATGAGTTTTATATAGAAGTGTGTTACTTAGTTTTAAGATGATGTTATTGATTATTGTGGTCAGAGGACATATTTTGTATGATTCAAATGATCTTAAATGAATTGAGACTTACTTTATGGCCTAAAATATGGTATATTTTAAAAAAATATTTGACTTATTTTTGTTGTTCTCATCCAGAGAAAGCAATTGAACTGCGTCTGGCAAAAATTGACCATACTGCGATTCACCCCCATTTACTTGACATGAAGATTGGACAAGGGAAGTATGAGCCGGGCTTTTTCCCTAAGTTGCAGTCTGATGTACTTTCCACTGGGCCAGCCAGCAACAAGTGAGTCAACCCCAGGGATTCCCTGATCCAGCTCCCTAACCAAGGTGGTGAGGGCTATCTAGTATCTGGGCCTGAGCTGATAGAAGACTCCTGGAATTTTGTAAAGCAAATATGGAAAAGACCCAGACTGTCAGGTTGTTTGAACAAGAATACGGTGACAAAGTATAATTAATTCCTGTCTCTACTCTGCAGATTGGGATAGCTCCACATGCCCAGAAGCTGCAGAAAGCCAGGCTGCAGATAGGTTGCAGTCATCTCTCAGCTAAATTCCATACCATACCTAGCTAGCATTGTATCTTCAGTAAGTGGTAATTGAAATAATTGGAGTCTGAACTGAAAGTAATTACTTTAGCAGGGTTGCTCTTTTTTAATTACTTTTGGAGATGAGTGTATCAAAGCCCAGACAAAGTTGAATGAGTATAGTTTTGGGTCTGCATATGAAGTGTTTTTGTACATGTCTTAAGAGAGCTGTGTCTATGTTCCCAAGTTTCTCTTGCCTAGTCACTGAGGTCTAAGCTCCTTTTCTTCAAGGTCTCTGAGCTATCTCTGGTGACTTTTTGGTGGTTTTTCTATGCCCAGTGTTGTTCCCTAGATGTCCAGGTTCTCTCCTGTCAGTAACTTGACTTTACTTTTTTAGTGCGATGTTCATAATTCGCCTGCTTGGATTCTGTCAGGTGGACAAAAAGGAATGCCCCTGCCCAGTGGAGGCGGAAAGATCGGCAGAAGCAGCACACAGAACACCTGCGTTTAGATAATGACCAGAGAGAGGTAAGACACCTTAAGAGTGACAAACAGTGACACTATGACTGTTTTATACTCTCCTTCTCTTTCCCATTTCCTTGGCCTCTGATCTAACTCAAATGTCTTAGCAATGACCTCTCCCCATAAAGAAGGGTTAATACTAGGGTTAGTTCCTGATACCTGATACTGGGCCTTGGTTATGACAAATCCAGAATGTACGATGTTCTGCAAGTGACAGCTGGCTATTAACCATGTAGATCCTCTCCCTGAGCCACACCCTGTTTGTAGCCCCATCAGGAATGATGTCCTGCTTAAGAAGAGAGCCTTTCACTGTCCTTTCAGTACTCAGTCATGTATGATCTCTGGGGAGTGTGATAGGAACCTCAGAAGATAAGAGTCTGAAATTTGGGAGAATACTTTTAAAATTTGTGAGGCTTTTTATGTGTGTAGTATGGTAGTAAAGAAGTTAATTCTGTTAGAGTGAGAAGGAAGAAAAGCTGGACTTGAGTTAATACTGTGAATCACTGGGGAGTAGGGAGCTTTTCTTCTATTTTTTGTGTATCTTAATTTAAATCGGGTAATCTTGACTTTTTTTCTTAGAGGTACAAGAGAGGAATGTTATCATCAGGTGCCTTGGGATTAGGGATTCCTGAATTGACCTCCTGAGTTTACCAGCTGAGTTTCTTAGCTCTACTGTAACTTGTTCCCAGTGAAGTTTCTAGTTCTTAACCTCAGAATGGAGACCCTGCCTTACTTAGTTGCAGAGAAGTTGTGAAAATGGAGCTTCACCTTCAGAGTCCCATTTCAGGAGCTTCTCTTTGAGAAAAGACCTTACAATTTACATTTTATACATTTAAAACCTGTTAAAGCATATTGTTTTCAAATGTGTCTGGCACCTAAATGAATGGGAAAACAAATACCATTTTGTCTTTGCTGTTTTTTAAAGGAATAAATTAGAATTGCAGGGTATGGTTATGAATTTTTAACTGCTGATTTAAAGAATATGATTGTGCTTAGACTTTTTATGAAGGTGGCATAAGGGATTTGGGGTATTGGTGTTATTTTAGAAGTGTCCCCTGGGTCTTCCACCTCACCTCCATATTACTTTTTTTAGTAGTGTTTATTGAGCATGTTTTTTTGGTCAAATCACTGTAGTAAGCACTCTGAAATAAAAAGATGACAGGGGAGGTAGACTTGTCCTCAGGGAATACCAGTTTATTAAGGGAACAAAGTCAGGTACACAAATAACTTTAGTAGAACAGTCTTTGGAAAGGGCCATATGAAAGGCAAGTCAGTGTTTGATCTCTGATGATCAGAGCTCAGTTCTACCTGGCGTAGTATTCAAATAAGACCGAGGGAGCCATCATCTCTTTAAGCCTCAAAGGATGATGGGATTGTGAGAGACAAATAAGAGCATTCAAGTAGAAGAAATGGAGGATCAAACGCTTGGTAGTTGTTGTGTAATGGAGGCTGTGGACAGAATACTTTGGAATAAAGAGGTACAGGAGAGGAGGTAGGTAACAAACTAGGAGGCAGGTAGCAGTAGTCCAGGTGAAGGAATTGAAGCCTAACCTTGGGGGTTGGTAGGAGGGGCAGATTGAGGACCAGAAGATAGAATGGACAGAATTGTACTACTGGAAAGTCTAGGGTAAAAATATTGGTTGCGAACTTGCGCTGCTGATAGGATGTCAGTGCGCAGTTCACTGAATTGATACGAGCTCTGTGTTAAAACAAATAGCATATGGAGAATCACCAGGACATTGTAGAAAAACAGAAGATGCAGTTGTTGTTTTGAATGTGCACTCTTATTTTCCAGGCCCTAATTTAGCAAGGCTATACTTCATGATAGTAAGGGTAGATATTTTTGATATGGGCGGAAGAGTTAAACTCCTTGCAGCATGGTGGAGAAAATGAGTTTCTCATTAGTACTTTGAAATTTGAGTGGGTTTGTACACTGAGCTATACATGCTGCAGCCATGTGTTAGCTATGTGTTAGCCATGTGCTCTTTACCTCTCCTATCATTAAAGCAAAGGTAATTACGGTACTCATGAAATGCCTTACATCAGAGAAAACTTATCATATTGTCTTAGTTTTTCTTTTTGCTGCAAGAATTGCATTTTAAGCTTTCCACCTCCAACGGTAAGCGTAAGAAAGAGGCAGTAAGAAAGTGTGGGATGATAGTAGTGCCCTCTTCAGGCTCTCATTAGTACTGGTCACTGTGGTTTGTGTGCATGGATCCAAAGAGCCTTTCATTTTTCTGTTTGCTGTAGAAGTACATCCAGGAAGCCAGGAATATGGGCAGTACCATCCGCCAACCCAAACTGTCCAACCTCTCCCCATCAGTGATTGCTCAAACCAACTGGAAGTTTGTAGAGGGCCTGCTCAAGGAATGCCGCAACAAGGTGAGCTATGGTTGCTCGTGAACCTGTGCTCTTTTCCTTGGCAGCCAAGGGGAGACCACATCTGGGCTCTGACTGCTCTTCCTTGGCTTTAAAAATATTGTTAATATAATGAGATAGTACTGATTTTAAGATCCTGTTAACTTGGAATTAGGTGTGTTTGTTTTAAATAAATATACCATTACTGGAGAGCAGGCACACTTTGCTTGATACTAATTTAATATGTATTTTTTAAAACTGAGAGATGGATGTAGTTTTCAATTTTAGACATCTTACATTACTTACATGAAATCCTTGTAGTTGAATTGTCTTCAACACATTAATCTTACACACATGAAAATGTTTTTGCTTCTCTGTTTTAATTTGATAGCAGTAATATCATTATCTAGACACAAGAATTTACTGGGTGCCAATTATGTGCCAGGCCAAAGTGTGTTGTTCAGTTTAAGCTTATTGTTGGGATGTTTTTTCAATTCTACAGACAGTAATGTTTTTAAGCTTTATTGAGGTATACTTGATATACAAAAAATTACACATTTTTTTTTAAGTAGACTCCACACCTACTCATGACCCTGAGATAAGACCTGAGCTGAGATCAAGAGTGGGTAGCTTAACCGACTGAGCCACCCAGGTGTCCCTACACACATATTTTATTTTTATTTATTTATTTATTTATTTTTAAAGATTTCATTTATTTATTTGAGAGAGCGAGAGACAGCGAGAGAGGGAACACAAACAGGGGAAGTGGGAGAAGGAGAAGCAGGCTTCCCGCCGAGCAGGGAGCCCGATGCAGGGCCTGATCCCAGGACCCTGAGACCGTGACCTGAGCCAAAGGCAGACGCTTAACGACTGAGCCACCCAGGCGCCCCCTACACACATTATTTTAATGTACACATTTTGACAAGTTGGACATATGCATACACCCATGATACTGTCACCATAATCAATCTATCACTACACAGATCTGTCACTTCCAAAAATTTCCTTATGTTATTTTGTGGGTTTTGTTTGTTTTTGTGGTAAATATACTTAACATGAGATCTATTCTCTTAACATATTTTAAAGTGCACAATAATCTATTGTTAATAGGTGCTATGTTTAAAAATAGACCCTTAGATCAGTGGAACAGAATAGAGTCCAGAAATAAACCCAAGATTATTTGGTCAATTATTTGTATGTATTTATTTTTTTAAAGATTTTATTTATTTATTTGACAGAGAGAGAGATAGCGAGAGCAGAAACACAAGCAGGGGGAGTGGGAGAGGGAGAAGCAGGCTTCCCGCGGAGCAGGGAGCCCGATGCGGGGCTCGATCCCAGGACCCTGGGATCATGACCTGAGCCGAAGGCAGACGCTTAACGACTGAGCCACCCAGGCACCCTATTTGGTCAATTATTGACAAAGGAGGCAGGAATATGCAATGGGAAAAAGACAGTTTCAACAAATGGTGTTGGGAAAACTGGACAGCTACACGCAAAAGAATGAAACTAGACCACTTTCTTACACCATACACAAAAATAAACTCAATGGATTAAGGATCTAAATGTGAGACCTGAAACCATAGAAATCCTAGAAGAGAGCACAGGCAGTAATTTCTCTGACACCGGCCATAGCAACATCTTTCTCGATACGTCTCTTGATAAACTATTGGGACTACATCAAAATAAAAAGCTTCTGCACAGCAAAAGAAATAATTAACAAAACTAAAAAAAGGCAACCTACTGAATGGGAGAAGATATTTTCAAATGACGTATCTGATAAAGGGTTAGTGTCCAAAATATATAAAGAACTTACACAACTCAACACCAGTAAAACAAATAATCCAATTAAAAATGGGCAGAAGACATGAACAGACATTTCTCCAAAGAAGACATACAGCTGGCCAACAGACACATGAAAAGATGGTCATCATCAATGAAATGCAAATCAAAACCACAGTGAGATATCACCTCATACCTGTTGGAATAGCTAAAATCAAAAACACAAGAAACAACAAGTGTTGACAAGGATGGTAGAGAAAAAGGACCCCTTGTGCACTGTTGGTAAGAATGCAAACTGGTGCAGCCACTGTGGAAAATAGTATGCGGCTTCCTCAAAAAATTAAAAATAGGACAACCCTATGTTCTAGCAATTGTACTACTGGGTATTTACTCAAAGAATACAAAAACACTAATTCAAAAAGATATGTATACCCCTGTGTTTATAGGAGCATTATTTACAATAGCCAAATTATGGAAGCAGCCCAAGTGTCCATCGATTGATGAATGGATAAAAAAGAAGTGGTGTATATGTATAGGAAGATTACTTAGAAAAGAGAATGAAATCTTGTTATTTGCAACAACATGGATGGATCTGGAGGGTATTATGCTAAGTGAAATAAGTCAGTCAGAGAAAGAAAAATACCATATGATTTCACTCTTATACTGAACTTAAGAAAGAAACGAACAAAGAAAAGAGACAAACCGAAAAACAGATTCTTTTTTTTTTTTTTTTTTTTTTTTTTTTTTTAATTTATTTATTTGAGACAGAGAGAATGAGAGAGAGAGAGCACATGAGAGGGGGGAGGGTCAGAGGGAGAAGCAGACTCCCTGCAGAGCAGGGAGCCCGATGCGGGACTCGATCCAGGGACTCCAGGATCATGACCTGAGCCGAAAGCAGTCGCTTAACCAACTGAGCCACCCAGGCACCCTGAAAAACAGATTCTTAACTGTAGAGAACAAACTGATGGTTGCCAGAGGGGAGGTGGGAGGGTGGATGGGTGAAATAGATGGAGGGGATTAAGAGTACACTTTTTCTTGATGAGCACTGAGTAATATATGGAACTATTGAATCACTATATTGTACACCTGAAACTAATATAACACTGTATGTTAATTACACTGGAATTAGAATAAAAAATAAAAGATAAAATAAATAAAAAAAAAATAAAGTGATGGGACACCTGGGTGGCTCAGTCAGTTAAGTGTCTGCCTTCAGCTCAAGTCATAGTCCCATATTGCACTCCTTGCTCAGTGGGGAGCCTGCTTCTCCCTCTGCTTGCTGCTCCCCCTGCTGGTGCTCTGTCTGTGTCTCTGTCTCTCTGACAAAAAAAATAAATAAAATCTTGGGGAAAAAAAAGATGTGTATATATGTACAATGGAATATTACTCAGCCATTTGCAACAACGTGGATGGAACTAGAGGGTATTATGCTAAATGAAATAAGTCAGAGAAAGACAAATATATGATTTCACTCATGTGGAATTTAAGAAACAAAACAGATGAACATAGGGGAAGGGAGGGAAAAATAAAATAAGATAAAGACAGGGGGAGGCAAACCATGAGAAACTCTTAACTATAGGGAACAAACTGAGGGTTGCTGGAGGGCAGAATGGGTGGGAGGATGGGGTAGTTGGGTGATGGACTTTAAGGAGGGCACTTGAGGTAATGAGCACTGGGTGTTATATGCAACTGATGAATCACTAAATTCTACCCCTGAAACTAATACTATACTACATGTGAACTAACTTGAATTTAAATAAAATCTTGGAAGAAAGAAAAAACAAAAGTAAATTATTTGTCCTTAATTTTGATCCCCTTAACAGGTATGTCAGATGTATTTCTAACCTTAAATGCTTGCAGGTTTGTTTGATAAGATCAGTTAAACGATGAGAAACAGAATGTCGGAAGTGACTGTGACCAAAGGGTTTTATTCAACTCTTTCATCTCATAAATGCAAAAAATTAATCCAGAGTGATGGTATCACTTGCTCATGGTCATACAGTGATTGCTGTGTTCTTATCTTTGTAACTGAACTTTTATTTTTTTTAAAAGATTATATTTATTTATTTATTTGACAGAGACACAGTGAGAAACGGAACACAAGCAGGGGGAGGGGGAGAGGGAGAAGCAGGCTTCCTGCTGAGCAGGGAGCCTGATGCGGGTCTCGATCCCAGGACCCTGGGATCATGACCCGAGCCGAAGGCAGACGCTTAATGACTGAGCCACCCAGGCGCCCCTGTAACTGAACTTTTAAAGAATGCACTTCACCATGACCTGACCTATATGATGGGGAATAAATATACTTTATGTCTCTAGGTCTTACTTATCTTGTCCTTCCCCGCCCAGCAGATGTGCTGTATGGGTCACCACCGCTCTCTCTAGTTGTATGTGATCCTGCTCACTGTGGTTATCTAATCCTACTGACTGATTCCTTGTAGACCAAGAGGATGCTGGTGGAGAAGATGGGCCGAGAGGCTGTGGAACTAGGGCATGGGGAGGTGAACATCACAGGGGTGGAGGAGAACACCTTGATTGCCAGCCTTTGTGACCTCCTAGAGAGGATCTGGAGTCATGGGCTACAAGTAAAGCAGGTAAGGAATGTCTAGACTCTCCCTGCTGAGCAAACTGTCTTTCTCTTTTAACTTACTAGCTTTCCCACACTCTTCTAGCTGGCTGGCTTTGAAAAATGGTACATGCCATGTGTGGGGTGAGACTTGAAATAGCTAAACAAATAAATAAGTAAATAAATGTGATCCAAACTATTTTCTTTAAAAAATATGCTTCATGAACCTGTGTGTTAGACATTTTTAGAGTGGCATCTTCCTTATTGTAAATAGATCTAAAGGCCAGATTGACAGATCCTTTTTGGCAGCTGGCCCTGGTCTGGAGATGGGACACAAAAGAAAGAACTTGGAGCTCATAAGTACTCTAAGGGTCCTTCACTAATTGTACATTTCCAGTGGAAAAAGTTCTGTCATTAACATTTCTTTTATATACAGATAGCTTAACTGTCTAAAGATTTGAGAAAGGACTGCAGGAAATTAAGTTTGATTGTCACTGCTTGATACCAGAGAATTTCCTTATTTCAGAATACTCTGTTTGGAATAGCTAGTCAAGATGGACAACTTTTACTTTTATGCATTTTTAAATTTGAAGAGAACTTGAAATCTTTTCAAACAGTTTTAGGGGCGCCTGGGTGGCGCAGTTGGTTAAGTGTCTGACTCGTGATTTCAGCTCAGGTCATGATCTCATGGGTCGTGCTCCATGAGATCTCATGGAGATTGAGCCCTGCAATGGGCTCTGCACTCAGCACGGGGTCTGCTTGAGATTCTCTCCCTCTGCCCCTCTCCCCACTCGTGTTCTCTCTCTCTCTCTAAAGTAAGCTTTAAAAAAAAAAAACAGTTTTAATATGGATAAATTAGAAAAACATGTAAGTATCCAGCAAGTATTTATTGAGGGCTGACAGTGTGCCAGGCACTTGTTTGTTAGTGAACAAAACAGACCAAGATCTCTGCCCTTCTAATTTCTTTTTTAAAGATTTTATTTATTTGACAGAGACACAGCGAGAGAGGGAACACAAGCAGGGGGAGTGGGAGAGGGAGAAGCAGGGAGCCCGATGTGGGGCTTGATCCCAGGACCCTGGGACCATGACCTGAGCCGAAGGCAGACGCTTAACGACTGAGCCACCCAGGCACCCCGATCTCTGCCCTTCTGGAGTGCCATTGTCATGGGTATAGAGACAGTCTACCATATCTGTCCTTCAAAACATTTTTCTGTGCACATTGTACCCACATACCATGGATATTTAAAAATCCAACCACAATGAGATACTTTTTCACATCCACTAAGATAACTAAAATAAAAAAGACAGACAGTAACAAGTTTAGTAAGGATCTGGAGAAATTAGAACCTCACACATTGCTGGTGGGAATGTAAAACAGTGCAGCCATTTTGGAGCATAGTCTGGCAGTTCCTCAGAGTGTTAAACATAGTGTTATATGACACAGTGAGTCCACTTTTAGCTATGTACTCAAGATAAATGGAAACATATGTTTGTATAAAAACATTTACACAAATGTTCATAGCAGCATTATTCCTAATAGGCCAGAAATAGAACAGCCCAAATGTCCATCAGTTGATGAATAGATACACTAAATTGTGGATATCTATACAATGGAATATAATTCAGCAGTAAAAGGAATGAGGGATGATACACGGCTCAACATACTAAGTGAAAGAAGCCAGTCACAAAAGACCACATATTATATGATCCCATTTATATAAAATGTCCAGAATAGGCAAATCCATAGACAGAAAGCAGATGAGGGGATATCAGAAATGGGACGAAGGAGATTAGGGAGTGACTGATAATGGGTATGGGGTTTCTTTTTGGGTGATGACAATGTTCTAAAATTAGGTAGTGATGATGGTTGTACAACTCTGTGAACATACTAAAAACCAGATTTTTTTTTTTGGTAACAAAATCGTATACTTTGTAAGTGTGAATTTTATGGTAATGTGAATTATATCACAGTAAAACTTTAAAAATCTAGATGGGATCATACTGTACATAATGTTTTGTAACTTGCTTTTTTTACCTCATAATATTTTTTCCATGTCCTTAACTAATTTTTAGGTGATACTGTAGTAAGTATTTAAGAGCTCAAACTATGAATCAGATAGACCTGGGTTTGATTCCTACTTAATAACTTTATGAAACTGATCAAGATTCGTGGTTTTTCTAAGCTTCTCTTTCATCTTGTATATGATGGACTTTTTAAAATACCCACCTCCATAGGATTCTTGTGAGGATTTGCTAAGGTAGTTTAGGTGAAGCACTAAACTCAGAGCCTGGAATTTGGGATGTGCTCTGTAAATGTTAGTTACTGTATCCATTGTATATGTTTTCCATGTTTGAATCAATCCTTTATTACTAGTTATTTAGGTTATTTCTGATTTTTCAGTATTATAAACAACAGTGTGGTTAATAAATTTTTTTAATGCTAAAAATTGTGTATCACCTCCCTAAGATTTGAGAATCCTCTAGTATAATAGCAGTACTATGGGCTTTGGAGTCAGAAAGACTGGGATTTGAATCCTAGTTCTGCTGGATGACTTCCAGTAACTTGTGATTTTTGAATCTCATTTTCTTTATCCATACTATAGGAATTAATCAAATCTACCTTTGAGGGTTATGATAATTAGATGTAATAAAAATAAATACCTGGCATGTGGTAGGTTTATAACATATGGTGGCTATTATGTTAGACTCTACATGAAGAATTTGTTTTTTTCCTTTTCTGTATAACAAATGAGTAGAATATACATCATCATTTTATCATTTTCCTTTAAGTTGAGTGAGCCTGACACTTAAAATTGAGCTCTTTAGCTTTTTGGTATACCCCCCCCCAACTTTAATGTTTGCCATAAAAATTTCTAGAGCGCTAGTGAGCCTTCTGCATTTTAAGAAATAATACCTATCATCACATGTTCTAAACCTGTCCTCTGAGGCTTTGCAGCCATATTCTGCAAAAATTCCCATAGCATGGGAGGAATATTTTTTGGAGCCCATTTGAGTCTTTTCTCAGTTTGGATAGATGGAGGCTCCTTGTTTAGGGAGAAACTAATACAAAATAATGGGGTCCCATTTTGTTCTGGATCCTGCATTTGGAGCATGAAAAGTGAAGCACTGACATTGTCAGCAGAGGGAAGCAAGGGTGTGTGCTTTTTGGCAGGGTGTTAGTACCCTCAGGGATGCATGCATGGTCAGCTGCGGATTGACTGTGACTATCTCTGCTGGGTTTCTACTGCATGTTCTCCTCAGACCTTCACTTTGCTAGCATGTGTGTAGAGCACCTCTCTCCCGGTGAGACATTCTTTGGTTATGTTCCAGTGCAGAAGTTCTGTAACCTGGTTACCTGGACTCCATCATGGAGATTATGCATGATCCTGCAGTCACCCACACTGTGACCAAATTCGCTGTCAGAGAGTGATCTTATTGCCCCTTCTGAGGGCACCTAACTGATCAACTACCTATTTTAATCTACTTAGAAAGTAGAGAGAACCCAAACAGCAGTTTTTGCTGCTAGCTTCCTAAATTTTGTTATTGGCCATGACTGCTCACAACTCTCTTTGGCTTTCAGTGACATTTTTCAAGGAGATGGGCATCCTTCCCTAGTATATTCTTCTAACAATAAGAGGTGAGGTTTGTTTTTTCATAGTGGTTTTGTAACTGCTGCCCTTTGGGTAAGTGAGAATGGGTTGTTTCTCAGCTGTGTATGACATCCTTGGAGAATCCGGTGCTATCTATATTTTTCTTTCCCTGTAAAATACCCCAAATGGGTAGTTAGACTAAATTGAACCTTGCAGTCTCAGTCAGCCTCTGTGCAAAAGAGGAAAAAGAATAATTGTAACTCCTGAACTATAAAGTCCCCAGTGCCCTATCCCTGAGCTTCAGCCCAGTGCTGCTCTCTCGCTCCTGCCTTTGCTCTCTCTCCGGTAAAATCACCGTGAGCCAGGGCGTCCTTCTGGCATGGCAGGCTGGTGCTGCTCTAGTCTTTGGCTCTTCGGCAGTGTTGCATGTGAGGGCTCTCTGGTGACTGGCCGTACTTAGTGTAGGTCACATCCATACACGTCTGCCTTCCTAGTCTTCCTGGATTCTGGGGATAAAGTAATGAATAAGCCAAAGTCCCTGCTGTTTTAGGAGCCTAGTCTAACCATTTTGGTAGAGGGATGGACGGATTTCTGGAAGCTGAATCACTAAATCAAAGAGTGTGAATATTTTAAGCTCTTGTATTGTCTTTCACATATATTGTGTCAATATACCAGTTAGTGTATGGAAGTTCTAAGTCTCATTGATGTTGTTGAACATCATTTAAAAAAAAAATATTTGGTTTCTCAATGAATTAAAGTCTTTTCTAGTTTTAACTTGTGTGTTTTATAAAGAAATACCATTGTGATTATTGGGTTTTGTTTTAAGCTAGTTAAATCCTTTTTTTTTTTTTTTTAAAGATTATTTATTTGAGAGAGAGAGAGAGAGAGAAAGCAGAGTGAGAGCACGATTGGCGGGTGGTGAGCAGAGGGAAAGGGAGAATCAGACTCCCCATAGGGAGCCTGATGCAGGACTCTATCCCAGGACTCTGGGATCATGACCTGAGCCAAAGGCAGATACTCAACTGAGCCACCCAGGTGCCCCCTTTTTTTCCTTTTTTTTTTTTTTTAAGTTGGTTAAATCTTATAGGATATCCAAACATACAGCAAGTTTATGTTAACAGCTTTCTGATCTATAGATGAGGGTTTTCTTCCATTCAAGTGCTTGATTTTTTTCCCCCTAGAATCTATCAAATGGATAGAAACAAAATAGATCCCCAGTATTCTCAAGGGACAAATCTTGAGACCTTAAATCCTCACATTCATCCAAGAGCATAAAATTTTCTTCAGAATGTATAACTTCATAAATTAAATGATCTCTTCCAGGCAGTCTGTAAAGTATCATTATTGGGAGCAATGGTTCTGCCATTAGATTGAAGCTTGAATCCCAACACTCTGTTTACTATCTGTCTGATCTTTTACAAGTTACTTAATCTTTCTGATGCTCAATTTGCTCTTTTCTAAAGAGAATGAAAATAGAGGTACCTATCCTGTAGGATTGTTGAGAGCATCAAATAAAGTATTATATTTTGAACATGCATTAAATAAAGCATTATATTTTGAACATCTAACATAGTGCTTAGTTTGTAGCAAGTCTCAGGACATAGTAGCTTCTATTATTATTACTATCACTTCTCTGAAATATAGAACTAAAGTCATTTATAAAATTATAATAAATCCTACTACCAAAAAAAAGCGTAATACTACATTTACGTTATATCAGATATATAGAAACATTTACCATGAATTTAAAATAAAGTTTTTATCACCTAACAAAGGGCACTGTGTATTGCAGGATGACTAGAAAGAGACAAAGCAGTGGCTGGGTCGCCAGCTGGGCTCACTCACCACGTAGGCAAATTGCTCCCTTACCTCAGGATTGCAAATGCTAATCAGACTTGTGCCTTGGTAAAGTGACAAATTACTACATGTCTCAAATAGTTTAAATTGCAACTCTAACATTTCAAAATGCTAAGGTTCTGTTATATTAGCTATAATTAAATACCAGCCTACCTTCCTGCAGGCCTCTTCATTTTTACCTTCAATAGTAAATCCTCATCTTAGTGACAGCTTACTCTCTTCAGCCTGCCCTAAGGGCAGTAATGCCTTTAAATGTTTTAAGAAATTCAGGAGCTATCGTAGAATCTTGTAGACTGGATATTAGCTCCTCAGTACAGAAACCATCATGCTCTACCCAAGCTGGGCTTTAACCAACTTAAAAGTTGATAGGTTGTTTGCTTTTTTTCTTTCTTATCCACTGGTCCATTCGCAGACTCTTTTTAGCCATGTCCTGTTTGAAGTGGTGGACCATTTCTCTTTTCTATTCCTTTCAAGTCTTCTTTATATTTCTCCTGCATTTTAGTAGGGTGATATATTTGTACATATTGCATCTGGGTGTACATCGAGATAAGGAAACAGTAGAGATACTTTTTAGTAAAAGCCCATATCTATATGTTAAAATTATCTGTGACTGTGTTGACTGGATGCCTTGGCCTCTGAAATCTAAACTGATAGGTGTTTCTTCCTTGTGTTGGTTCCAGGGGAAATCAGCCTTGTGGTCCCACCTGTTACATTATCAGGAAAACCGGCAAAGAAAACTCACATCAGGAAGCCTCAGTACCTCAGGTAAGATGGTTTCTACACCACTGGGGAGAACCCCCTCCACCCACTTTCCCATCCCCCATTGGAGTGATCAACTGCAGTAGATTATTCTAGGTCATTAGAACCTTTGCTGTATAATGTTTCCTTTTTTAAATATTAAGCTACTCGGCTCTCTGAACCACAGAGTGTGCCAAAGCCATGGGATTTGCTTTCGTTATGTATTTCTATACCCCTCCTTTAAAAGTAATTCTGTGCCCGACCTGGGGCTTGAACTCATGACCTCCAAGATTGAGAGTTGCGTGCTCTGTTGGCTGAGCCAGTTAGGCGTCCCTGTTTCTGTACCTTTTGATCAGTGAGATAGAAGATTTATATCAGCAAGAGGACAGTCTTAGAATCAATTTAGGTTTTTAATGGATTTGTGTGGTACTGGTGTCCTATGTTTGGAGCAGGTTGTCTTTAGAGTTTTTTGTTTTATACCTCAGAGATGGGCATTGAGATCATCTATCAGTTAAGAGAGGCTGTGTCCTACCTTGGAACTCCTCAGAGTCAAGACCTGATGTGAATGATCTCTTAACACTTCTTTTACTTTTTTTTTTTTTAAAGATTTTATTTATTTGACAGAAAGAGAGAGAGCACGCACAAGTAGGGAGAGCGGCAGGCAGAGGGAGAGGCAGGCTCACCACTGAGCAGATAGCCTAGTGTGAAGCTCGATCCCAGGACCCTGGGATCATGACCTGAGCTGAAGGCAGGCACTTAACCGACTGAGCCACCCAGCCACCCTTTCTTTTCCATTTTTTTTTTTCCTAAAAGATTTTATTTATTTATTTGACAGAGACACAGTGAGAGAGGGAACACAAGCAGGGGGAGTGGGAGAGGGAGAAGCAGGCTTCCCGCCGAGCAGGGAGCCCAATGCGGGGCTCGATCCCAGGACCCGGCGATCATGACCTGAGCCGAAGGCAGACGCTTAATGACTGAGCCACCCAGGCATCCCCTTTTCCATTTCTAATTTAATAAAAATATCGGAGTTGGGGGGCTCCTGGGTGGCTCAGTAGTTAAGCGACTGCCTTCGGCTCAGGTCGTGATCCCAGGGTCCTGGGATCGAGCCCCGCATCGGGCTCCCTGCTCGGCGGGAAGCCTGCTTCTCCCTCTCCCATTCCCCCTGCTTGTGTTCCCTCTCTCGTTGTGTCTCTCTCTGTCAAAAAAAAAATCTAAAAAAAAAAAATATCAGAGATGATCTAGTCCAGCCCTTTATTTTACAAGAGGAGGAAACTGGGATCCAGAGAGGAATTGAATTTATTCAAGATCACATACTGCGTTCATGGAAGAGGCCAGATTGGGAGCCAGGCCTCTTGTCCCCTGGTCTGGTGTTCCTTCTGCAGTGCCCCTTCCAGGACAGCCCCCCTCCTTCCTGTACTTCTTGGCATGCTCACATGCGCGCTGTCTCTCTCTCAAACAAATAAATCTTCTAAAAAAAGCCAAATATAATAATAATAATGAAAAATTTTGAAATTTTGTGAGAATTACCAAAATGTGACACAAAGACATGAAGTGAGCAAATGCTGTTAGAAAAATGATGCCAGTAGACCTGCTTGACACAGAGTTGCCATAGACCTTCAATCTGTAAAAAAAAAAAAAAAACAAACCAGTATCTGTGAAGCACAATAAAGTGAAAGTGCAACAAAATGCGGTATGCATGTGTTGTATCTAGGGATCCTAAGCATTCTGGGACATGTTCTTTACACAGTCCCTTGGCTCTTTTGTAGCCCAGTTTGAGGCAAGAACAGGACCTGAGTAGTAGCTCCAAATGGAAATACTGCTTCTGTGGATGCATGATGACAACATGCTAGATCAGGAGCCAGAAATTTGTTTTCCTCCAGTCCTGACTTTGCCACTTGGTAACTAGGGCAAAGCATTTACCTACTCTGAATTTCAGTTTCCTTCTCTGTGATACCTTCCTTGGCTATCTAGTTGTTAGAGGATTAAATGAGATAATATGTATAAGAGTATAGCATCTGATACCTACTAAGTAGTTAATAAATATTCATGAAACACTGTTACCCAAATAACCAACTATTTCCTGTACAAAGAGTCAGGATCGCTGTTTGGATAGTCAGATCTCTCTTGGGACATGACCAGCCTTTTTGTTCTAGGAATACTTCTTGATTCAGAACGGAGGAAGTCTGATGCCAGCTCGGTCATGTCTCCCCTGAGAATCTCCCTCATTCAGGATATGAGGTCAGTCTGGGTTCATATATACTAAGCCACTAAAAGCCTGTTTTCAGTTGCTCCTTAGGTGTCTACTTTAAATAGCAGGGTCTCAGTGACGTAGGCTTCTACAGCATCTCCATTAACCAGGAAGACCTCGTCATTGGTCTTGTGCTTCATGATGCAGTTGTAGAGCTGTATGAGCAGTTGAGTTTCCTGACATTTTTGGAGAATTATACCGGAGTATCACAGGCTCCAGGGTTTGCCTGGTTTTTTTGAGAGCTGTATTGTCACTGCCCCCACCCCCTGCCCCCTGCAAATTGTGGTGAGCCTTTCTGCAAAGCCACACGGAAGCCTAGGATTTAGAGAACAAGAGAGGTGGATTGTCACCAGGATGGGATAGGATTGTCTCACCAGGCCTGCTTGGCTTTACAGGGGGAGGTATTGGTAGTGAGTTCCGCTTCTACCCCACTCCCCACCTCCTTTTTCCCATTCTCCCTTCAGGCACATCCAGAACATTGGGGAAATCAAGACTGACGTGGGGAAGGCCAGAGCATGGGTGCGACTATCCATGGAAAAAAAGTTACTTTCCAGACACCTGAAGCAGCTTCTCTCAGACCATGAGCTCACCAAGTAAGGCCATTCCACTTGGAGTAGAACCAGGCTCCCAGGAATGGTGGGGAGGGTTTGGAAACCCCTGTGTGAGGAGGGAGAATATTCACTATTTCATTTCTGCTGTGTTCAGCTAAACTCAAATTGCATATGAAGATTTTGTAGCATTTCCTCTTCTCCCTCTTTAACTATAGAAGAAAAATTCTGCTATGTTTGTTCTTCCTACCTTCTCCATTTGCATGTCCCCAAATAGCTTTCTTAAAGAGGTAGTGAGAAGGATGGGGTCCTTATTGGGTACCTCAGAGTTTTTAGGGCTCCCCTCTCCTTACTGCACTCAGGAGACTTGTATACCTCTTAGGCACAGGGCATTTTCTTGGTCTCTTTCCTGTCCTGGGGAAGAAAGGACTAGGGAGTGAAAAGGAAACTTCTAAGATATCCCCTTATCTCTTTTGTTCTCTTATGAGGCCAGGGCCAGCCCAAAACAACAATCTTTCCTCTTCCTCTCTGGACCCTTCCTGAGTTTCCCTAGAGCTTAAAAAGGCTTTCCAATGGCTCTCATGGGCCCCCTCCCTCCACACTTTCCACCTAGAAAGAGGAAGAGGAGAGATTCCATGGTTCTCACATTCCCAGGGGCCATTAAACCTACAGTTCCCTTCTCTGGATTTAATATTCTTTGTATTCTTTTTGTACCCTAGCTACCAGAGGAGGAGTGGGAAGGAGGACTGTCCCCCTTCTCTGCCTCTCGGGCCACCACCTCTCCACTTTTCCTATGTTTGGCTCTTTCTTCACTGGCAAGCCTCTTGGACATTTTTGTTTAGCATTTCCTTAGGCATCTTTTCATGGTGTCCTTTATTATCTGACTTCCCCAAGGATGATAAAGCAGAGGACTGGTTCTTGGGGAAATTTTGTGTAGCCAGTTGATTAAACCTGCAATATCTGTTTTAATTCAAAGTGAAAATATAATGATTTAGATTGTTTACTGTGCATGTAAAACATAGCAAGAACTAGGTTTAAAACCTTGATAAGTTAGGTTATTTTGAGAGGTTGTGAAACAGCAATTTTTAAAGCACTTAAATTTGATTTGAGACAAGGCTTAGGAATAAAATTTGGAGACAGGGAGAACAACTAAAAGAGAACAAGTGAACGTGTAAGCCTTTCGAAGGGAAGTGTATGCACACCAGATTCTAGGGCACAGTTGTGTGTGGTTAAGAAAAAAAAATTGCCATTGTAGCAGGATAGGCAGGAGTGTTTCCTGCTGGCCAGTGTGGGTGTCACCAGCAGGAGGATAGGGAGGCATCTGAAAGAGGGTCGAGCACAAGCACTTTGTGAAGTCCAGAACAGTGGCTAGGTCTAGGGTGCGTATGAGCCTAAAGGCCCAGGCCACAGCAAACAGGGCACAGACCTTGGTCAGGAGGCTAATTTTGGTTTCTTTAAACTGTAGCCCCGTTTAAAGGAGATAAGCTCAGAATTTACTCAGTACTAGAAACTTTCCACCTTATAGTCTGGCCCCAGTGCTACTCCAGTGAGTGGAAAATGGGTTTTGCTGCCACAGATCACATTTTGGATGGGGTATAAGGGAGAAAAAAGGGGCCCTTCATCAAAACCTATTTATTCCTTCATTCTGCTCTCTCTCATCTTTCTCTTCAGTCTGCTTAAAGCTCCAGCCACATCATACTTCTCACCCTTCTCAGTATGTCTTTAGTCCTTTCAGGGCCTAGTCAGAAGTTTTTTCACTAGAGTTTGTCTAGACATCTCAGAGACTGGGTTCATTCTTCCCCTGGGCACCCATAGCATTTGTCACAGTATTTATTCAAACCTGCCTCACCACTGATGGGCTGTATTATTATTATCTAGTTGCTTGCTGCTTATTATAATTTGCTTTCACTGAGGGCATGAATGAGCATGTTGCCTAGCACCTAGTAGATACTCAGTTGGGCACATAAAATGTGTGCATAGCTGCACAGACAGGAGGAGGTGGACAGCCTTGGAGAGTACATCTCGGTAGAATGCTCCTGAGTCTCTGGGACTTCCAGGTAGCCTCCAAAACTGTTTGCAGTTGGAGAAGGGGGTTAGGTCGAGGCAGGTTAAGGGGGCTGTAGAGTCTAGGGGAAAAGTTAGCTCCTATATACTGAGTCCACACTGTTTCCCCTTGACTTCCCTGCAGTGACTATTTCCGTGCAGTAGCCCCTCTGCCTCGAAACTCACTTTGCATGGCTGCCGTGGCCTTACTCGATCCTGATCTCTTTCTTCCCCCTTACCCTTTCCAGTCCTCGGGTCTCTGCATGCACACATGTTCTTTCACGCTTCTCTCTCACTTAGGGATCTCACCCATTGTCATGACTTCTGTTACCCATCGTGTGACTTGTGCATCTGAAGCTGTAGCTTTGACTTTCTCCTGAGCTCCAGTCCTGCATTTACTTCCATTCAGGTATCTTACCTTTCGTTCAGACAGAACAAAAGCGCAAGCTTCACAGAATTCTTCACCGTAACTACCTTTCTCTCCAATGTTTTGTTAAATGTCGCCACAGTTTGAAATTTGGGGTCCAGTTTGACTCCTTGCTTTGCTTTACCTTCCACATGCACATTTCAGGTCCTTTGCCTTTGCCTCCACCTGTCTTCTTATCTAGTGCCACTGCCTTAGTTTCAATCTTTCACTCCTCAGATGCACTAAATTTAAATTTAAATTTTCTGAAACCACTATGGCTTTCCCTTTACTTCTAGGGTAAATTACAGAAACCCATTACTTGTAGGGTAAGTTGCAAACTCTTTAGGCTGACTATTTAGGGCCTTCCTTCATTTGACTGTAGCCCAGCCTTTCAACCTCATTGCTAACTGGTCATCTCCCTCAGCATTCACCTCCAGCCAAACTGGTTTCCATACCCTTGTCCTCTTTCTTCTGCAAGATCTGTCTAAATTCGTGCTGTTCTTTAGGCCTCTCCTCATCTAGGATCATTGAGGCTTATGCCTCTTTAAATTCCCACAGAGAGCCTTTCATTTGCAACTCATTATGGGCAGTCTTATACCATGGCCTTTACTTGATTTATTCACCCGGGCTGTATTTGAGGATAGGTGTTCCCTCTCTAGCACCTGTACATCGTAGGCCCTGGATGGTGAATTAATCTCTTGGGTGTACCTTATAGGTAAAACTTCAGAGATTTACTGAATCCATCTTAGTGATTGCAATCTTGGCAACCAGGACAGTTACCTTCTTTTTTCTCTGTGCTGAAGGCCTGTGCACTTGGCTCTTCATGCCCCCTCTATTTGGGGAAGGTGTCATTGCTGTTGGAGAGGGTCTACAGTGTCAGGCAAAGGAGCTGGCCTTTGATGAGTAAGTGGGGGTGGGGATGGGGACAGGAGAAAGTTTGAAAAGAGAGGAAGGACATGATGTACGTAGCTCTTCCTTGTCTGTGACCTGGATCGTTCCCTTTATTGACTCAAGCTGTCCTGGGCTTACATTCCCATTCAGAGCGGTGTTTTGACTCATGGGTCTTAGGTCTGCTGAGGGTCTGAGGCTGTCCCTGGTAATGATTGGGGTTCACAGACCTCCTGCCGTTACTATTCCCACACCGCACACTGGGGTGATGCCCCAGCTAGAAGCCTGAGGGGAACCGTGCCATCCCTGAGGGGTGACACTTCCAGCCCCCAGTTTAGGAAAGGGGATCCCGTGACTTCTGACACTGCATTGTAGTAACATCAATGCTTGGACACAGGTGGAGTTTGGCTTTGTTGTTTCTGCTGTAGTTTCAGCCACTTTCCCTCTAGCCCTCATTTAGATGGAGTAGCTGGCTTTGTTCCTTTTTTAGGTGACTCTAAAGAACTTGAAGCTTGACGTCTTATTCTTCCCTTAGCTGTCTCCTTCCAGAACCGAGTAATTCTAGCCTCTTTCCCCTCCTTTCGGCCGGGGGACTGATGTATTGCCTCCTCTCCGACAGAAAGTTGTACAAGCGCTATGCCTTCCTGCGCTGTGACGACGAGAAGGAGCAGTTCCTCTATCACCTCCTCTCTTTCAATGCCGTCGATTACTTTTGCTTCACCAATGTCTTCACAACTATCCGTGAGTAGCCCTGTGCTCCCCACTAGCCTTCTCAGTGCCAGTCTTCATGAGCCTGCCTAAGGCTAGCTCACTGTCCCTTTTTTTAAAGAAAGAAGATTGTCACTTGTACTTTCTATTTGCCTTTTGCTTCTGTAGGAGAGAGGTACATTTGCCCTCTGTGGAGGTTGTTTTTTCTCTGAAGCTTCTTACTCTTGTTCTGAACGGGGGAGCTCAGTCTTTTTGGCCATCATGTTGTCACTGTTGTCCTAGGCACCGCCCTGGGGGCCTAAGGCGATGAAGGTGGAGTGGAGGTGGGTGGCATGGTGAAGTTCACTGCCCTCTTTGCACACCTGTAAAGAAATTTCCCTTTTGTTTTGGGCTCAGAGAGTGATTCGGCATCCTAGAAGGTTTCAAACCAGCGCACAGGGAAAAAAGACTCTTCCTGAAGTAACAGAACTCCGGGTTGTGGTGGGAGATCTGGGTCCAGCTCTGCTCTGCCCTAACTCATTAGGTTTCTGGGAGCAGAGTTGACTGCTGCTGTGCGCCTGTCTCCCTATTTGCAGCATGAGGAAGGAGGGTTCAGTAGGGTCTAAGGAAGGCTTTTGGAGCCTCATCTTTCTTTGGTACCAGGATGCTCTTTTCCTTAGGGGTTAGTCTCTGAATTTGCCCCATGCTTAGCTGTTTGACGGGTGACTCAGCAGCCTCAGCAGCATGGACTCTTGCTTCTATATGACACCCATCCTCCCTCTCTGGGATGAGTGTTGTAGGCTGCAGGAAGAGCAGTACTGGACTGGAACTTAGGAGACTTGGGGGAAACTATTTCCCTTTCAGTGCCTCAGAAAAGGCATTATAGGACTTCTCTGGAGATTGTTATTAGAGTTCACAAGATGATAGATTAAAAAGTGCTCTGAAAAGCAATTCAGTACAACATGGAGTTGGTGATATTATTTAAGGAACAGATTCACTTAGCCTCTGAGCCTGCAGATGGGCTTGGATCTTTGATGGTTGGGTGGTAACCCTGAGAGGAGAGAGACTGAGGGTAGGATTGGCTAATATTCTAAGCCAGCCAGAGACTAGGTCCTGGGGCCTGCTGCTCCTGGCTCTGTTGGGGCTGGTACAGCAGGGGCTGCAAGCATGCCAGCATACCTGGGCAGGCAGGTCAGGGCCCTTTCAGGTATGGGAGGGATTCCTTATCCCCCCTCAATGCCTTTGTGGCTTCCCCCAAACAGTGATCCCATACCATATCCTGATTGTACCGAGCAAGAAGCTGGGGGGCTCCATGTTCACCGCCAACCCATGGATCTGCATTTCGGGAGAACTGGGTGAGACACAGATCCTGCAGATTCCCAGGAATGTGTTAGAGATGACCTTTGAGGTATGTGTTATCCAGGTATCACAACCCCAGGCTCTTTCGGGATCTGAGTTTGCAACGGCTGCTTGTGGGAGCTTTCTGCAGGGTTTTATGGTGGTCTTGCTCTTATAGTATTAATGTATTAGCACACTTGACCTGTCCTGAGATGATCAGAGGCCAGAGCCAAGGGTTGACCCAAGAATGGGGGAGCCTGCCCTGTCTAAGCGGTCTCTGACTCGAAGGCACTTACCCATCTGGACTTGCATAACTCCCTGTCCATGGCATGTTGAGAAATCCCCAAGAGTTCTTTCAGTTGCTGAGCCCGAGTGTTCACAGAGACCTCTGAATCTCAGACTGCTGTCCCACTTCGAGACCCTTCTGCTTGTAGGCCCTGTTCTTCCTTCAGATAGTAGCATCTTCTTTCTCAATCATTTCCCATCATGAGAGTGCTGTATCACCAGCCTTGGTGGTAGGTAGAGCCATGAGCTCTTCCCTATGGATGCTAAGGGGCCAGGTTGCAGGCAGCCAGTCAGATCTGTGCCTCTGAGTAGTGCCTCTCTGTTCTCTTATTTTCTTGACCTACCCGCCTTCTTTATTTGGCTGTTCTTTCACAGTGCCAGAACTTGGGAAAGCTCACTACGGTACAGATAGGCCATGATAACTCTGGGCTGTATGCCAAATGGCTGGTGGAGTATGTGATGGTCAGGAATGAGATCACAGGACATACCTACAAGTAAGTGTTCCCTCAGCTATGCCCTAAGATAGTGGGGCAAGGTATACCAGGGTTTGGGTTTGATGCCTGGGTATGTGGAGTTCTCAAGGAGACCTTTTCGGTCGTGGTAGACTATTTGGCTCTGCCTCATGCACCTGAAAAGAAATAGAAGGAGGGTTTTCCTCCTCCTCTGCCTCATGCACCTGAAAAGAAATAGAAGGAGGGTTTTCCAAGCTAAGACGTATGATGTTGCTGTGCACAGGTTCCAGGCCACCCATCATTCAGGTGGCTTCCCCAGTGATGCACAGTGGGATGGATGAGCAGGGCCTTGAGGGATCCCCAGCCTGGTTTCAGAGCCTGTCTCCAGGGATTGGCTTTTTGATGGTTTTTGCTGAGCAGCAAGGGGAAGGACATTGGAGGGGCTGGCAGCTCTGACAAGCCATTGCTTGACCTTTAGGTTCCCATGTGGTCGGTGGTTGGGGAAGGGCATAGATGACGGGAGCCTGGAGCGGGTCCTGGTTGGGGAGTTGCTCACGTCCCAGCCTGAGGTGGATGAGAGGCCGTGCCGGACCCCGCCCCTGCAGCAGTCCCCCAGCGTCATCCGGAGGCTCGTTACCATTTCACCCAACAACAAGCCCAGTAAGTGGGAGGAGGGGCTGGGCCCTCATGCCACCTAGGTGGGGAATGTGGGCAGATGTCTGGGAACCCTGATGTGGGAGTCCAGACCCCAGCCTGTGCAGCTGCCTCAGGAACCACTTCTGCCAAGAAAGCAGCCTCAGGCATTTGTCACCCTCCTCTCATGAATGTGTGTGTGTGTGTGTCGGGTGGGGTGGGGTGGGGTGGGTGTCACACTCCTTAGATCCCTGGAAGGAGAGGGGAGGGCTCATGCAGCCTGGCCTATGTCCTCTGTACTATTTATATATGATTCTAGAGAGGAGAGGGGTCTGCCTCCTGGCCTTCTCCTTCCTTTTTCCTGGGCCTCACAGCCAAGTCTTGGCCCTCTTTTGGTTGCCAGAAGTTCCAGGGTAAAATGGAAAATAAACTTTACCAGACTCTCTTAGAGATGGAACTCTGAGGTATTAGCTTTTGCTTTTCCTCCAAGATTTTAGCAAGGGCTACCTCGACAAAGTTGGATGGGCAAGAGCCACTCTTCCTAGGGTCCAGGCTATCCTGCCTGTCCCATGAGCCCTTCCTGTGTCCTCAGTCTTGTGGTCAGTCAGCTAAGCATTGTTAGCTTCTCAGATTGGTTAGGGTTGTCTGCTTGATTTTTATCAGAGCTGAACACCGGGCAGATCCAGGAGTCCATTGGGGAGGCAGTCAATGGCATCGTGAAGCACTTCCATAAGCCCGAGAAAGAGGTGAGCCTTCCTGCCCTCCAACCCAGTGCTTTATATCGAGTAAGAGAGAATAATCTTTTTCTAGGCCCATGTAGTGTGGACAACCCAGAGTCTAGAGTGTGTGCTTCAGTTTGACATTGAGCAGATTCTTTCCTCAGGGGCTTCTGCCTTGGGTTACCCTGTTTTCCTTACACACTAATGACCCAGCACAGTCCCAGGGCCTCTAATGAACAGTGTATATTCCTGTCCTCTTCTGGATTTGCCTGGGTCTCCCTGAGCAATGGTCACTCTGGCTTTGTCCCTTTTGGGGGGACCCAGATCCATCCTCTCTTGTGCAGCTGTGCCCTGGGAGCTGCTCTGTGCCACTCACGTGCCAGGTGCCGGGGAGATAGACAAGGTCCCAGCCAGGCTCTTGCTGCCCCCCAGCTGTGGACTGTGGGTTTGGGGAAGCAGTGGCGGGAAGGCAGCTTGGCTGAGGCCAGCCTGGCGTTCTCTTATTTCTTTACATAGCGAGGCAGTCTGACGCTGTTGCTCTGTGGAGAATGTGGCCTTGTCTCGGCCCTGGAACAGGCTTTCCAGCATGGATTTAAATCCCCCCGGCTCTTCAAAAATGTCTTCATTTGGGATTTCCTGGGTGAGTTGAGCCAGGGTGTGAGGGTGGGAAAAGCATGCAGGGACATGGGGACTCATCAGCACAGTGTGGGTGCTGACCACTGGGGTCTGAGGTCCAGAAGCCAAACGAGCTGACTCTCAAATTAGATCTGTTTTTATTTGCTCTGGCTTTTCTTGATGGCTCAGAAACAAGTCCTCACACTTTTTCCTTGTAGATCCAAAAGGCCAGTTGATAGTATTTGGAGTCCAAGCCCTGTGATATACCCACTTGGAGAATTTTCGTTGAAGAACCTTTTACCTCAAGAGTGTTTTTCTTTCTTCTTCTTTTTTTAATCTTCAGACTAGGGAAAGGACCATCTTTATATCAAGAACCACATACAGAAATTTAAAACATAAGAATAGGGACCTTATATTTTGAAATGTGACCAGTGATGTCAGAACATTCCTGTTACATTAAGTTACCTGCATCAACATGGAGAGACCCAAGGCTAGTGGCCTGCAGGATAGTTAGGGATAGGTTGGTTTTGAGAGCCTTTGTCACTGGCAAGCTTTTCTACTCTTCACAGAAAAAGCACAAACCTATTATGAGACTTTGGAGCAGAATGAACTTGTCCCTGAGGAAAACTGGCATACAAGGGCCCGGAACTTCTGCCGATTTGTCACTGCAATCAATAATACTCCCCGGAACATAGGCAAGGACGGCAAGTTTCAGATGCTGGTGTGCTTGGGAGCCAGGTACTGCAGCCTCATGGCCCGGAGTGCACAGCACCCAGCCTTGGAGGTGGTGCTGGGGCCTAGCATGGGGCGGGGGGTGGGAGTGGCTAATGACCAGATGCCCCTGGGCAGGTGAGGCCTTGGAGGCCCTTAATTCCCATGTACAAAGCATATGTGTGGGGATATGGAGGGGTGGGGATGAGAGTGTGTGGGGGCCCATTTTGATGGGAAGGAATAAAACCATTCCACTGGTGAAATTTGAAGCAGAGTCTATCAAGTCATTCCTTCAACAACCATTTGAATGCGCCAGGCGTTATGGAAGGCAGGGGGAATGGGCCGAATAAAACATGGTCCCTACCATTTAAAAGTTTACGTGTCCTGGTTAAATACAGTATAAAGCAGGGGCGCCTGGGTGGCTCAGTCGTTAAGCGTCTGTCTTCAGCTCAGGTCATGATCCCCAGGTCCTGGGATCGAGCCCCACATCAGGCTCCCTGCTCCGCGGGAAGCCTGCTTCTCCCTCTGCCACTCCCCCTGCTTGTGTTCCCTCTCTTGCTGTGTCTCTCTCTGTCAAATAAATAAATAAAATCTTAAAAAATAAATAAATAAATACATACATACATACATACATACATACATACATACATACATACAGTATAAAGCAGAAGGTTGTGAGAGTCCCAAAAGGAAGCATGCATTCATAAATTATGCTGAAGCTGTAGAGGAGAAAGATCAGAGAAGGGAGGAGGTGGTATTTGAGGTGAGCCTTAATGGAAGGGTAGAAGTGGGGAGGGAGTTCGAAGCAGACAGAATTAGCAGAGAAGTCCCAAAGGAAGCAAAGGATGTGGGGTTAGGAAATAACAGAAGGAAGGGCAGTTGTAGGAAACAGTTGAAAGGAGGATAGGGGCCTCAGGGAGCTGGGGCAGAGAATCCTTCCATATTAGGACAGAGTTGTTTAATCAGGGGACTGAAATGATACGAATTTGATACCATGGATGATATACATCAGAGTGGGCAAGATTGTTAGGGGCTGTCCCGTGGGTCAGGTGAGAGTGTGAAGGCCAAATAAACTTAAAGCAGTAGTTCATTTGGGCCAAGGAAGGGAGGAAGTTGGCAGAGTAGTTAAAAACAGACTCTGGAACCAGATTGACTAGGTTCATATTCTCAGATCAGCCACTTACTAGCCATCTGAACTTGGACAAGCTACTTAATCTCTGCTCTGGGACAGACTGGCTGTTGAGATGGAAGAGGTGGTGCTGACTGGACCTGGTGTCTGCTTGGTGGTGGGCTTGTCTAGGGAGGCAGGAGGAGGCAGGGGAGGAGGTGTGGACCTGGTGGCAGGTAACTGGGTCACTTTGGGTCAGGTTGGGTTGGTGTCCCTGGGGCTGAGTAGTCCCTAGTAGGAGCCGTTTAAAGCCATGTAAGGTGTCTTTGCCAAGCACTATGATGGGAGGGAGAGGGGGCTGGGGGAAGCTGTCCACTTCTCCAGCCTCAGAGTTCAAGAAGTGATGGAGCAAGTTCCCCCCTTGACTTTGTACTAACTGTCTCCTTTCCCCTTCCCTTCCGATCCATCTGGACTGACCCTTCCCTGCCAGAGATCACCTCCTACACCACTGGATTGCCCTGCTGGCTGACTGCCCCATCACCGCACACATGTATGAGGATGTGGCGCTGATCAAAGACCACACACTTGTCAATTCCTTGATCCGCGTGCTGCAGACATTGCAGGAGTTCAACATCACGCTGGAGACATCCCTTGTCAAGGGCATCGACATCTGACCTCCCAGCACCAGCTAACAGCAGGACCGAGAGAGACTCACCCTGCAGCTCTGACCCTTCTTCCCAAGGGATTTAAGCAAGTTGTGCAGGAGACAGAGAGATGTACACTCACTGTAAAAAGAAAAGTAGAGGATTTTTGGAATAAATAATCTATTTTAGAGTTTATTTGCTGATTTGCTTTTTACACACTTTCATGTGAAAGAGTGCTAGGGAGAGGGAGACGAGGTTGGTGCCGCTTATTTTGAAGCTGGTGCCCTCCCTCGCCACGGCCGCGTGCTGGGAGCCTGCGGCCTCCCCGGACTGAGCCTGCGGCGCGCAGGGGCAGGCAGTTTGCTGCCTCACCCCCGCCTGGGCATGAGGCCATCCCACGTTGTTTTTAAACTAATGTTTTCTATATTAACATTGTTCTGGATATTTGGCTTTCACGGGCCACACACAGGTGTGCTGAGCAGGAAGCCCCAAGCTCCAATCAAAGGGATTTTTAGTAGTGCCTCTGCAAGCACCGATGAGTCAGTCCCACATCTTTTCTTTTTCTGTCAGTATTATTTGGAACGGAGACATGCCAGGATGCACCATCGTGCAGAAGATCACGTTTCCTCTTGGCACACAGCTGCACAGAAGTAAACATAAGCATGTTTTAACAGGTTTTCTTTTTTTTTTTCCTCTTATTTATTTAACCCTCCATTGTGTGTTTTAAATCTTTTTCTTTTTTCTTTTTTTTTAAGGAAGGAAGAAGCTTGTCACAGTCTAACTGGCTATGTTATTATTGTTAAATTTATGTTGTTTTGCAACCTAGAAACCAGCTACAGTATGGCCCACTTAATAAAACACCTGAAACAAAACTGCATGGATCCCTGACTTTTATGGGGGTTTGTGAGCAGTGGGTGGCAGGGGTGCCGTTTGGTCCATGTGAGTGTGAGAAGCTGTAGCATTGCCTTGGCTCCTTCCTCAACTGCCCAGGGTGCTGCCCCCAGGGCCTGGCGTCTCCTGGGTCCTTCCTGCTGCAGCACCAGGAGCTTTCATAGTTCATAACTCAAATGGCGCTTTGAGAAGGATGCACATAAGTGTTATTTTCCCACTCCACAGAAGAGGAGGCTGAGGCACAGAGGGGAAGGGACCTGGCCAAGGTTGCAAAAGTTGTCAGTTGACTGAGACAAGATGGGGTATTTCTTGAAGGGTAAGGAAGACCAGGTGTGGGAACATAGGGTACATGAGATGCTATCTTCCTTCAGGATAAAAAAACCTTTTTCTTGAGAGAAGCATTTGTTTTTCCCAAAATGGTATATAGTAGAGCTTTATGAGGGTCTGGGAACCAGCTTGCTTCAGTTTTATTCTTCAACCAACCTACTTTTGCAGGAAGTTCCAGAAGTGTGGCTTGGTCAGATAGAGGACCTCAAACCAATTAATGTCCTCTTTTATGCTTCCCTGATTTTGCCTGTATGTTCTCCCTGCCTGGATGGAATGCCTCCCCTGGTGCCTACTTCCTGTTCATTGTTCAGGGTCACTTTAGGAGTCACCCACTATGAAGCCTTCCCTAATCCTCCGTGGGCACATTTAATCATTCTGTCACTGTGCTCCTGTAGTTGCTTAGATGCTGGTACCTCCTCTCTGGGTTGTTGCTGCTTTCATGGTGGGCCCACTCCCTAGGCTCTGAGCCCCTGGAGGGTCCGCAGAGGGTCTCTCACTCATCTCCATCCCTGGTGACTGGCTGGCGGTGAGTGCCCAGGTAAGGCTTTTTGAAGAGGCGAAAGGAGTGGGAGGCTTTGAGGACAGCTGCAGTGCCATATCCTGCCAGCAGGGAGCGTGAGTGGGCCACAGGAGTCTGCAGGTTTTTGGAAGCTGGGGAGGTAGGTGGTGAGGGGGAAGGGAGATTCCTGGCTGGGCAAGAAGGGCAGCATAGAACTCGCTGCATGTATGTCTGTTGTGGGCCTAGGCCAGAGATGACCTTAAGCCAGATCCTTTACACACACACTTCTCCCTTTTCCTCATACCCCTGCAAGGCAAATGTAGATTATCACTGGTTTATAGGTGAGGAAATTGAATGACAGAGAAGTTTAGTCACTTGCCCAAGGCCACACATCCGATAGGTAGTTTGCATGGAGAACTGTCTCACTCCAAGCTTGTGGCTTTTCCACCGACAACTACTACTTTGCTTGATTCAGGTCTCTGCTCAGATGTCCTCAGAGAGACCCACCCTGACCACTCTAAAATACTAACAAGTCCCATCAGTCACTTTTATCCCCTTATTCTACTTTATTTTCCTTCCTAACACCTGCAACTGTTGTACTAATTATTTGCTAATTCTAAATCTTGGATTTATGAGGGAAGGACGCAATCCATTCACAAAGTAGCAACTGGCTACTTCCCCAGTAACTATCTGTGGAATAAATGAATTCATTGGCAGTGGTTAAGATGACAGACTATGGGCCCAAAAGTCCTTCAGTTAAATCCTTGCACTGCTAATGTGACCCAGAGCAAGCTACTTAATTCCTGAACCTCCATTTACTCACCATCTTAAGATGGGAATGCTAGTAGTACCTGCATCAAAGGGTGGTTGTGACTGCTACCTGACTACATGTGACGTGTGGAACAGGGTCAGGTGTGCAGTAAGTGCTAGACGAATCCTGGTTGTTGTTACTGCCCTGTTGTATCAAGCCCTGGCTCCTGACTGAGACCCAGACCCCTGGTCCTCAAGGAACTCAGAGGCAAGTGCTGCTGTGGGGGAGTATGACACCAGGGAAGGTAGTGACCATAACGAGCTGTGCTTAGGGCGGTCGGGGATTGTCAGAGGGAGTGGATGTTGCAGGTAGCGAGAACAACGTGAGCAAAGGCGTGCAGATGTGAAGGAGCCAGCCAGATTGTGACGCTCAGGGAAGTCTAGTGCCAGAGTCACGTCTGAGACGGGGAGGGGAGCAGATTTGTGGGCTCCTTGGCATGAACTTTGCCGGTGCTCGGTAGCTGTGGACTGAAGGAAAGACCACATGCTGCCGGCACCATGTCACCAGAGCCGTGTCACCTCGGTGTGGCATTCTTAGTGCACACTTCCACCTGTGAAGACGAGTCCTGCTGCTTTGGGCCCTCCTGGGATGTGAGCCATGGAAACCTGTGGTCAGAGCACAACTGCCCGGCTGAGGCATGGCAACGGTGTGTCTCGAATGCAGTGTGTGGCCTGAAAATCGCAGACTACACACAACTGACTCACCCCATGGCGGGGCCTTAAGTCTCAGGGAATAAGGGGAGGAGTCTCTTTTAGGTAACCTAGCACTGCTTCTCCTTTATCTTCTTCCAGCTTTTAGTGCTGCTTACTGGAGCCAGTGCTCATGGCAGTTAGAGTTAAATGACCCTTTCTGTATGTGGTCTTGTACCTACACAACTTGTACAACTGACCAGTCGGTCATGGCTCTGTGTGGTGGGTGTTATGTGCTTAGTTATGTGCTTTAGTGGAGGATGCTGGCAGCCTCAGTCAGCTGAAAGAGTGCAGGAGCAACACCCTTTCCAGGAGACGTTGCTGAGAAGGTGAGTGTCAGTCATGTTTTAGAAATCGAGGCTCTCTTGGGACCATCTATCTCTCTGCTCCTTCTCACAGCTGATTCTGCTGTGAATGCCTCACTTTCTACTGTGTTTTGTTTTATAATCTGCAAATCCTTTTTGGAAGGATGTGTGATTTAGGAGAACAGGCGTGTTTAGTAGCTCAGTATTTCAAGGACGCTTGAGTCAACTGCCTCTCCAGCAGCCCTGGGTAGATCAAGTGCATTCAGTTCAAGTGCTGCTTGCTTTGGCTTTTGCACCTGCTCTAATTCAGGGCTTCTCAGACTCTGAAATTTCAGGGACTGATAAATAAACAAACATGCAACTGAACTCAGTGAATTATTACAGAGTGAGCAACCACCTCCTTCCTTCCAACTTTGTGACCTTTATATTAACCACTTCCTTGAGTTTCTTTATTGTTTTATCACCCAAGTGTACATCCCTACACACTATAGAAATCAAATTGGTTTCCTTTTTAACTTGGTACATCTATTAAGTCTCTTTTCTTCTAAAGGGCTCCCTCTACTCCTTTCTTTTCCTTACAGTTTGTCTCTTGAAGAACCTGGGCTGTATCATCTGTAGTTTCCCACAGCCTGGGTTTTGCTAATTTCATGCTGGTGGTGCAGTTCAGTGTGCTCCTTTATTGCATTCCCTGTAAATCAGCAACTGTATTCCCTGTAAAACAGCAAAAAATCCAGGGACCTGATTTGCCTCCAGATTGATCCCTTTGAGGAGACTCTAGGTTGTGGTGTACTCATTTATCAGGAAGCACATCATGTCTGGTGTTCACTTTTTTTGGTGTTAGCAGCTATCATCCTGTAAGTAGTTCACGGGGGCGGGGGGGGTGGGTTGCAACATGGGGATATTCTAATCTATCCTTTTGTTTCATTTATTAGGTGGAATAATTTTATAAGGAGATGCTGCCCTTCGTGTATTTGATTTCTCAGTAGAGTTTATAGGAAAGGCAGGGTAAGTGCTTAATTCTTTACTTTTGTTAACTTTTAAGATAATGTACTGACTAGTTCCCGGTTATCCTCAGAAGGTGGCTATCTTTTAATACATTTTTTTTTAAAGATTTTATTTATTTGAGACAGAGAGAATGAGAGAGAGAGCACATGAGAGGGGGGAGGGTCAGAGGCAGAAGCAGGCTCCCTGCCGAGCAGGGAGCCCGATGCGGGACTCGATCCAGGGACTCCAGGATCATGACCTGAGCCGAAGGCAGTCGCTTAACCAACTGAGCCACCCAGGCGCCCAGAAGGTGGCTATCTTTTAAAGACATTGTAATGAACTCATGGACTTAACGTGTATTTGATGAGTTTCATTCCATTGCAGTTATTATGTTTATTGTCCCATCTTGGCAGTTGGAAGCCTCTTCAAATTGCTTCCCGAGTTGTTTAACATGAACTTGGTCGTTGCTTTGTGGAATTTCAAGATGTCCCAGGCTCATCTTTTACGTTTTCTGTCTCAGGCTTGGAATCAGCTATTTGTATAAGAATCCCTGGGTTCTGCATATGTTTTACCCATTCCCGCCTCCTCCTGTTGTTCAGGCTCCACTGTCTCTGCCAAGAGTGACTCTTGTCTGCTGGTCCTCAGACATAAGAAGTCCAGAATACGGGTGGTAGGTGCTGCTTGTGGTTCAGTGCACTAGGACCTACAGAATGTAGCCCTGGGAACTAGCACTTAGAGTTGCAGCTTTGCAAGGCATAGTGTCCCTCGGTGGGTGCTTGGAAGTAATGATAAGGGTGGCCACTCCTCCTTCTGCCTCTTGGTTCCTAGACCCATGTGTTCTTCCTTAGGGACGTAGCCCCACATAAAAGTCCCTGATGTAATGCAAATCCTAGATCCTGAAGGATGGCACCCAGCTCTTAGAGATTCCTGCCTCAGACGATTGAAGCCACTGGTTCAGTTGTGCCGTCAGTGGGCCATTCCAGTGCTCTTTGAGGTGGGTAGCTTCTGGACGGTGTAGCGCATATATGACCAGTATAAGTGTAGATGACTTGGTGTTATGGACTCACTCCCTAACTTCACTGTGAAGTGGGTATGCTGGTCGGATGCTATGCTGGATGGAATTCCATAGCGGAGGATTAGGTACTCTCCGAACGTCTGGATATTGGTGCTGGTTGAGGTTCTGTGGGAAGAAAAAGCAAACCTATTCCCAGAATAGATCTCTATCCCTGTGAGGATGAACTGCTGGTCCAGCCAGGATGGAAGGGGCCTGATGGAGTTGATTTGCCACCAAGTGGCTGGTTGGGCTCCTCAAGGAACAGTGCTGTATCTGGGCTGAGCATTGGTCTCTTGCTGGCAGATTGGACATTCCGAGGCAGCAGTGGCTAGATGGGTTTTGGTATGTGGGGGTCTGTGCTGTTGGGCCTGTTTAGCCTCCATCTCTACCACTGTGACCAACTCCATTCATATGCCTATTGTGCGAGTGACAAAGTGGCTGAGTCATTAAATCGACTTAGTTTTCTTTTTTTTTTTTTTAAAGATTTTATTTATTTGTTTGACAGAGAGAGACACAGCGAGAGAGGGAACACAAGCAGGGGGAGCGGGAGAGGGAGAAGCAGGCTTCCCGCTGAGCAAGGAGCCTGATGTGGGGCTCGATCCCAGCACCCTGGAATCATGACCTGAGCCCAAGGCAGACGCTTAACGACTGAGCCACCCAGGCGCCCCTCTTATATTTTATTTTTTTTAAAGATTTTATTTATTTGTTTGACAGAGACACAGCGAGAGAGGGAACACAAGCAGGGGGAGCAGGAGAGGGAGAAGCAGGCCTCCCGCTGAGCAGGGAGCCCGATACGGGGCTCGATCCCAGGACCCTGGGATCACGACCTGAGTTGAAGGCAAACGCTTAACGACTGAGTCACCCAGGCGCTCCTTAATCGACTTAGTTTTTAATTCCTTTCCGTGGGGGATGCTCTCTGGTGTGTACTAATGTGTGATACAAAAATCTTCATACTTTGTGCCTACTCCCAAAAGTCCAGCCACATGCCTATACCCCAGACCTTGTCTCCAATCTTCCAGACCTTTTTCTTCCAGTCCCCTGACTAGCCAGCTGGATCACTGGCCACTGCTCAGGAATGTAGTGTCCTGTACATAGCTCTCCTTCCATAACCATTTGCAGCTCTGCTCATCGGAGGGAAGATTTCCCTTTGCTTCCCACTGTCTTTCAAGGCAGTCCCTGAATGTGACTGTCCTGCAGCCGCTGTCCATTTCTGTCTTCCACCCACATACCAGGCTGACCCATCAACAAACCAAGCTTGGTCACCGTTTCCATTTCACAGTGAACTACCGATGCCTGCACCTGACTTTATGGTTCGGCAGAACGCAGTTCATAATGGGAAGGTCTTGATGTATTGTCCCTTAGTGCTCATGCTCAAGCAATTTCATCTAAACCAGGGCCCAGTCATGTGCCAGGAGCTTTTTCTCAAAAGGTATATAAATCTCTGTTGCACATGGCGTGGTTTTGCTCCAGAATCCCAGGGGCCTGCTTTGTGATCCTTTTTAATGATTGGAGCTGGATGAGGTACATGGAAGCTCATTAATTTTTCCTTTTTTTTAAAGATTTTATTTATTTATTTATTTGTCAGAGAGAGAGACAGCAGAAGCAGGGGGAGTGGCAGGCAGAGAGAGAAGCAGGCTCCTTGCTGAGCAGGGAGCTGGATGTGGGACTCAATTGCAGGGATCATGACCTGAGCCGAAGGCAGACGCTTAACCGTCTGAGCCACCCAGGCATCTCTAATTTTTCATATTAAAAAGATTTAGGGGTGCCTGGGTGGCTCAGTTGGTTGGATGACCAACTCTTGATTTCCATTCAGTTCACAGTTGTGAAATGGAGCCTCACGTTGGGCTCTGTGCTCAGCATGGAGTCTGCTTGGGATTCTCTTTCTCTCCCTCTCCTGCCTCTCCCCCAGCTCACGCCCTCTCTCTCAAAATAAATAAGTAAAATATTTTTAAAAATACTTAAAAAATATATATGGTTCTTGCCTTTATGGAGTTTGCAGTCTAATGAAGAGATAGATACTGATTTTTTAAAAATCACTCAAATGTTCAGTTGCAACTGTGATAAGTTCTGTGAAGACACCCAGTGCTATGAGAACCTTGGGGATTTGGCTTAGTCAGTGAGGTCAGGAGGACTTCCCTGAGGTTGAAGGTTGAAGTTGACTGGGCAGATGAGGAGGAAGGGAAGAGTGTTTATGTAGAGGGAGCAACATTATGCCAAGTGTCTGTGCTGGGAAGGAGCAGAGAGTACGCAAACCCAAAGGCTGGTTTGCACAGCTGGAGCAGAGGATGGTGGGGCGTGTGGTGGGGATGAAGCCAAGCAAGAGCAGGAGGCCAGCTGTGCAGGGCCATGGAAATCACCTGAGGGAGTTTTATCTTTACTATTAGAGCCCTGAGAATTCATGCAAGGGTTTCCTGAAGGTGGGTGGAGGTGACATGTTCAGATTTTAACTTTGAGGAAGGGATGTGAGCATCCCAACTAGTGGCCAAAGGGGAGATGAGAGCAGCTTGGACTAGGAGTGGTGGAGTTAAAGGGAAGGGGTTCTAGGTTCTAGAGTTGCTTCAGAGGCAAGACTGACAGGACCTGGTGATGGATTGGGTATGAGCTGAGAAAAAAGAGTTGTCAAGGGTATCTCCTAGGCCTTAGGGTTGCATAGTCTACACTAAAGTTCAGTATGCAGACTTGTGCTTATAGCCAAGTTAAAATGTGGGATGGTGTATATATCTGTGCTTAGGGGCTCACTCACCTGTGGGACACCCTCTAGCTGTTTTGAACTTCCTTTACTCATACTGATTCTGAGGGAGGTGGGGCTGGCTGAGCACATGAGAATCCTTGGAACTTGAGGTTCCTTCCTGCCTTTCCCTCACCCTGTTGTTTCTTCCGGGGTGAGGCGGGCCCTGAACATTTCTGCTTTGGTCCGCAGACTGGGGTTGCAGTGATCTCGATTTCCGAAAGAGGCTTGTTATAGGGTCTGACCTTTTAACTTGAGCTGCACAGGCTGGACTTGCAGCAACCGTGGAACTGCAGGATTAATTGCTGAGAGCCTAGTTTCAATTGCTTGATTGCTGACCCCAGAGCTGGGCCAAGAGCATCCCTGGACCAAACTGTGTTACTTTTCTTTCATCTTGGTTCAACTCTCGGTTCCTGATCTCCTGCTCCATCTTTAGTAAGTTCTGGCTTTGGGGCCAGATAATACCTTCCCTACCTCTGTGGGCAGTCATGGGCCAGACAACTCTTCCAATCTTTATGTTGCACTTTCCAAAATGTTGCTGTTCCCACTGATGTTTCAACTGAGAACCAAAAACATTGAACACATTAGGGACAGGCCTTCTAATAAAGAAACATTTAACCAAGATCCTGTAAGACTTTGTAAAAGCTTCCTGCTCTTAGGTTTGTGCCTCTTTATTTCAGTTTGGGGGACTGGAGGAAACTCTGGTGAGAGGTGGAATTGGGTGACCTCAGCCCACCAAGGTAGCACACCTGTTGTGCAGTTTGCTAGGCATACTGCTATAGCATGATGAGACAACATGGATTTATACAACTTTGTAGCAAAAAGTAATCATAATGTTGAATTATAATTGGTGCTTGGTGTTTTTTTTTTTTGCAACATATTTCAATTTACTGAATTCACAAAGGTGATTCTCTTGGGTAGTTCTTTATTTAGAATAAGGTTGCTAAATCCCCAATGCAGGCTTTAATCTGGGGAGCTGAAGCAGCTAGGTTTCAGTCTTAGACTACTGTGGGTCCCACAAACTCAAGTAGGGTACCTTCCTGTTCTCAGTTCTCATATGTAAAATGAGCACACTAGCTTCACGTTACTGATGTGTACTGAAGATTGAAGGACCTAGCAAATAAATGATTTTCAAAAATAAGTCAGTAGCAATTAGTCAAGAAGACTAAATAAAATGTATCCAGATTGAAAAGGAAGAAGTAAAACTATCTGCAGATGACATGATCTTGTATTTAGAAAATCCTAAGGAGTCTATTAAAAACTATTAGAACTAATAAATGAACTTACTAAGGCTTCAGTATACAGGATCAATATACAAAAATAAATTGTATTTCCATAAAGGAGCAATAAACAAACTGATAATTAAGAAAACAATTTTATTTACAATAATATAAAAAAGAATAAAATACTTAGGAATCTTCAACAAAAGAAGTGTAAAGCACATCCTCTGAAAACTACCAAACATCACCGAAGGAAATTAATGGAGACTTAAATAAATAGAATGACATCCATGTGCATGGATCAGAAGACTTAATATTGGTAAGATGGCAGTACTCCCTAGATTGACCTTCAGTTCACTGTAATTTCTATCACTACTCCATCTGACTTTGTAGAAATTGATAAGCTGATTCTAAAATTGATATGGAAATTCAAGGGATCCAGAATAGCCAAAACGAGCTTGAAAAAGAACAAAGTTGGAGAACTCACACTTCCCAATTTCAAGACTTACACAGAGCTACAGTAATCAAGACAGTGTGGTACTGACGTAAGGACAGACATACAGATCAGTGGAATAGAATTGAGTCCAGAAATAAATCCTCACATTTCAGTCAACTGATTTTTGACAAGAGTGCCAAGATAATCCAATGGGGGAAAGAATAGTCTTTTTCAACAAATGGTGATGGAACAACTGGGTATCAACATGCAGAGGAATAACGTTGGACCCCTACTTTGCATCACACACAAAAATTAACTCAAATTGGGTTTCAGGGCAGGGAATGTATAGTTTCTTAGCTGGCCTGTTTCGTCTCTGCAAAGTTTTTTAAATTTTATTTTAGAGAGAGCACAAATGGGAGGGGCAGAGGAAGAGGGAGAGAGAATCTCAAGCAGACTTCATGCTGAGTGTGGAGCCCAATGTGGGGCTCGATCCCAGGACCCTGAGATCATGACCTGAGCTGAAACCAAGAGTTGGACTCTTAACCGATTGCACCACCCAGGCGCCCGCTCCCCCCCACCCCCCGCCCCCAGCATGTCTGCAAAGTTTTACTCAAGTAGGCATCGAGCACAAGTTCCATGCTGGCAGCTGTGCTGTCTGTGATGAGATCAGAGATAAATCATATCAGGCCCTCCCCTGGACAGACTCCCACATATGACCATATGATGTCGTGGTCAAGGATAGAGTCCATGGACATAGTGACAATAACAATAATGATGATGTGATGATCACAAGCATTACGGAGTACTAACTCTGAAACAAGCATCGTGCCAACTACTTTATAAATTTTACTCATTTGATTCTTACAAATATTATTACCCCCCATTTCACAGATGAGGAAACTGGGGCACGGGGGAGGTGAACTAACTTGCCCACAGCTGATAAGTAGCAGAATTGAGAGGACTTTCAGGGAAGGCTTCCAGGGGCTGGGTCAACCCCTGAGCCAGGCCTGGGCAGATGATGCCGATCGAGAGGAAAGGGGAAGGCATCGTGGTCCCCTGGGGCAAGGTCTCAGCTTGTTTGCACTGGCCACAAGTCTCCTTGGAGTTCTGTTGCTGACCTGCCCACACTGGGCTCAGCAGTTCTGTGGAACTCTGGACCTGCCTTGGCCTTCACATCCCACACTGCCTTAAGGAGCATCTCCTCAGCCTGACATGGAGCAGGAACTTGTGGGTAGTTGCTGCAGGCAAGGCACTCAACATTTACACTTATTCATGGGCTGAACTCCTGACTTCCATGGTGTCTCTCTTCCTGAAAATAATTTAATTACAAAACAATAATAGATGGTCATTATTACACATGTAGTGGGAAGACAAACAGAAAAACTGTCTCTCGTTGCTTGTTCAGTTTGGAGGAAATGACTCTTAAAAGGGTTCTTGATCATCTTTTGCATATGAAAGGTCAAGATTTTTCCGCTGGGAAAAGCAGGTTTCTTGAGGGAGGCCTCATCCTCTGTATGAGGGAACAAAGGACTTGAAGGATTTGGTCATTTCGTAGCAGGTGAGGACCTAGAAAGGGGCCCAGCCACTTGGTGAAAGACAGGGATGGGAGAAGAATGTCCAGTGAGAATCCCCCAGAAGCAGGGTCAGCCAGAACATGTAGGAACAGGGATCCTCCTGCTGATTTTAAGTGGTCTCGTGTGCGGTGTAGAACTCTAGCCCCCTTGGCAGTGCCTCACGCTAAGATAGTTTTTGGGGAAATCAAGGAAAAGGGACAGTGTTCCATATTTGTGTTTATTAGGGACAGAGAAGGGACAGCTGCAGAAAGCGGGATGCCAGGGAAACAGAGTGGCAGGAAGAGGAAATCGTAGTAAACATGAGAACTAGGCACCTGGACATTTGCATCAATGTTGGGGGAGGGCATTGGAATTTGCTTATATATACTTGTTTACATGTTAGTATATTTGCTGTATACTTTTCCTCAGTATATAGGATGAAGATTTCAGCCATTTTTATTTAAATGTTAAAGGGTGATCCTGTGAGGCCAGAAGACGTAGGGATACAAAGATGGCAGATATCTATGCATGTCATTTTGAAGTCTGCTTTTACCATTTAACATCCTTCCGTTTCAATAAATATTAATCTTGGCATCATTTCTAGGGACTATGTAGTATCTGTATGGAGATACCAAACCTGATCACACAGCCAAGTCTGAATATTTTGACTTTAGCTACGTGTGGGTTTTGTGGGGTTTTTTTTTGCATCTATTTGTTTTATTTAAAACATTTTTAAAATTCAAGCATAATTAACATACAGTGTTATATTATTTTCAGGTGTACAATATAATAATTGAACATTTCTGTACATTATTCAGTGTTCATCACGGTAAGTATACTCTTAATCCCCTTTATTTCACTCCCTACCCACCTCTGGCATCCACCAGTTTGTTCTCTATAGATTTAAGAGTCTGGTTTTTTTTTTTTTTCCCCTTTTTTCTTTGTTTCTTAAATTCTACATATGCGTGAAATCATACAGTACTTGTCTTTCTCTGACTGACTGATTTCACTTAGCATGATATCCTCTAGATCTGTCTATGTGGTTACAAATGGCAAGATTTCATTCTTTTTATGACTGAGTCATACTCCATTGTATATGTACACCACTTCTTTATCCATTCATCTATGGATGGACACTTGGTTTACTTCCATATCTTGGTTATAGTAAATAAAGCTATAATAATCATAGGGATACATACATCTTTTAAATTAGTGTTTTCATTTTCTTTGGGTAAATACCCAGTAGTAGAATTATGGATCATATGGTAATTGTGTTTTTAAGTTTTTGAGGCGCCTCCATACTGTTTTCCACAGTGGCTGCACAGCTTGCGTTCCCAACAACGGTACACAAGGTTCCTTTTCGTCCACAATTTTAGCTGTTTTTTATAATAGTTAGACATGTTCATAGTTTGAAGAGCCAACTAATTCTGTAAAATTTGCTATGAAAAATAGCAGTCAGTCCCTTACCTACTCTTCCTCTTTGCCTGGGAGCAAATGTAACCACTTTCATCTCCTTTTTAGCTAATTATTTTGGTATTTACCCCGTGGCCCTAAATAACTGCCTACAATTGCTACTTGCTGATTTTTCATCTTAGGTATTTTCTTTTTAAGTGGGCTCCACGCTGGGCGTGGGCTTGAACTCATGACCCTGAGATCAAGACCTGAGCTGAGATCAAGAGTTGGACACTCACCTGACTGAGCCACCCAGGCACCCTTCATCTTAGATGTTATTTCTTGATATGTTGCTATGATTTCTTGCTACAGAAATTGAGGATTTCTCTCTTTCCTCCTATTCTCCGGACACATACACATCTCCCCATTCTCCTATCCTCTTGATAAAATGATATGGTAGTTTGGGGCGCCTGGGTGGCTCAGTTGTTAAGCGTCTGCCTTTGGCTCAGGTCATGATCCCAGGGTCCTGGGATTGAGCCCCTCATCAGGCTCCCTGCTCGGCGGGAAGCCTGCTTCTCTCTCTCACCCCCTCTGCTTGTGTTCCCTCTCTCGCTGTGTCTCTGTCAAATAAATAAATAAAATCTTTAAAAAAATGATATAGTTTTAGTTAAATCAATATATAGAATTGTTGTTATTATGGTTATGTAAATGTTATTTTTTTTTAATTTAAATTTGAGTTAACATATAGTGTAGTATTGGTTTCAGGAGTAGATTTTAGTGATTCATCACTTACATATAACACCCAGTGCTCATCACAAGTGCCCTCCTTAATGCCCATCACCCATTTGCCCATCCCCCCACCTACCTCCAGCAACCCTCAGTTTGTTCTCTATAGTTAAAAGAGTCACTTATAGTTTGCCTCCCTCTGCTTTTATCTTATTTTATTCTTCCTTCCCTTTCCCTATGTTCATCTGTTTTGTTTCTTAAATTCCACAAATGAGTAAAATCATATTTATCTTCCTCTGACTGATTTATTTCACTTAGCATAATACACTCCAGTTCCATCCACATTGTTGCAAATGGCAAGATTTCATTCTTTTTGATGGCTGAGTAGTATTCCATTGTGTATATATACACCACATCTTCTTTATCCATTCATCAGTTGACGGATATCTGGGCTCTTTCCATAAATTGGCTATTGTGGATAGTGCTGTTACAAACATTGGGGTGTGTGTGTGCCCCTTTGAATTAGCATTTTTGTATCCTTTGGATAAATACCCAATAGTGCTATTGCTGGGTTGTAGGGTAGTTCTATCTTTAACATGTTGAAGAACCTTCATACTGTTTTCCACAGTGGCTGCACCAGTTTGCATTCCCACCAACAGTATAAGAGGATTTCCCTTTCTCTGCATCCTTACCAACAACTCTGTTGTTTCCTGAGTTGTTACTTTTAGCCATTCTGACTGGTGGGAGGTGGTCAAATGCTGAGTGATGTTGAGCATTTTTTCATGTGTCTGTTAGTCATTTGTATGTCTTCTTTGGAGAACTGTCCATGTCTTCTGCCCATTTCTTAACGATTATTTGGTTTTTGACTTTGAGTTTGGGAAGTTCTTTATGGATTTTTGATACTAGTCCTTTATCTGATGTCATTTGCAAATATTTTCTCCCATTCCATAGGTTGCCTTTTAGTTTTGTTGATTGTTTCCTTTGCTGTGCAGAAGCTTTTTTATCTTGATGAAGTCCCAATAGTTCCATTTTTGCTTTTGTTTCCTTTGCCTATGGTGACATGTTCAGTAAGAAGTTGCCGTGGCCAAGGTCATAAAGGTTGCGGCCTGTTTTCTCTTCTAGGATTTTGATGCTTTCCTGTCTCAAAATTAGGTCTTTGATCCATTTTGAGTCCATTTTTGTGTATGGTGTAAGAAAATGGTCCAGTTTCATTCTTCTGCATGTTGCTGTCCAGTTTTCCCAACACCATTTGTTGAAGAGACTGTCTTTTTTCCATTGGACCTTCTTTCCTGCTTTGCCGAAGAGTAGTTGACCATAGTGTTGAGGGTCCATTTCTGGGTTTTCTGTTCTGTTCCATTGATCTCTGTGTCTATTTTTGTGCCAGTACCATACTATCTTAATGATTACAGCTTTATAATATATCTTGAAGTCTGGGACTGTGATGCCTCCAACTTTGGTTTTCTTTTAAAGTGTTACTTGGGCTATTTGGGGTCTTTTCTGGTTCCATACAAATTTTAGGATTGTTTGTTCTAGTTCTATGAAAAATGGTGGTGTTATTTTGATCACAGTTGCATTGATCATATAGATTCCTCAGTTAGCATAGACATTTTATCAATATTTTTCTTCCAATCCATGATCACGGAACGTTTTTCCATTTCTTTGTGTCTTCTTCAATTTCTTTCATAAGTGTTTTATAGTTTTCAGCATACAGATCTTTTACCTCTTTGGTTAGGTTTATTCCTAGGTATCTTAAAGTTTTTGGTACAGTTGTAAATGGGATCAATTCCTTGATTTCTCTTTCTGCTGCTTCATAATTGGTTTATAGAAATTCCAGTTTCTGTATGTTGTTTTTATATCCTGTGACTTTGCCGAGTTCATGTATCAGTTCTAGCAATTTTTTGGTTGAGTCTTTCGGGTTTTCTACATAGAGTATCATGTCATCTTCAAAGAGTGAAGGTTTGAGTTCTTTGTAAATGCTATTAATAGCTGCATGGTGTAGTCAAATATGATGGATTGTCCTTCCCTTCCCAAATTTTCTTTTCTCTGGAGTTGTCTTGTATTGCAAGTTGGGGTGTCCAGAAAGCAAACTCTGAGATGGAGCTTAGTGTATAGGATATTTATTAGGGAGTACCCTTAGGATCAGCACCTGTGTATAGAGGGGAGGAAAACAGGAGTGGAGATTTGGGAGAGAGAGAAGCCAGGCTGCTATGTAGGCATGAGCACAGTCTTGACTGATGCCATGGGAGCTCTGGAGCTAGAGTGGCCCTTCAGAATGGCCCCTTTGGAGTTTCTTTGTTGAGTTTCCTTGAGTTAATCACTAACTTAACCCTGAACCCTTGGCTGGTTGTCAAAAATCTCCTCTTAATGCATTAGTTGTACCAGACATTTAATGCATTCCTATCCTCTTAAGTCTCTCCTGGATCCTTGGGCCTGCTTCAGGCTGGACTCGTGGCTACCTGGGGCCCACTGTCATCCTGGGGTCTCCTCTTACCATCAACCTGGCTGCAGGACATCCCACTGTGTAGAGGTTGTGGTTACTATACTTTCCTGTATTGAATATCCTGTTTTCCTGGGTCCCATGCCTTCCTTTTTCTTTATTCCCTTATTTTAGAGGAACATATTTTCCAGTAACATCCCTAGGAAGTAATGGGCTGTACATTTTTTGAGCTCTTACATATATGAAAATGTTGTTATTCTGTTCTTACAGATTCCTAGTTTGGAAAAATATAGACTTCTAGCTTGGAAATAGTTTTTCTTAATTTTAAATGCATTGTCTCATGCCTTCTATTTTCCAGTGTCACTACAGAGAAGTCCAAAGCCACTCTGATGTCTGACCCTTTGTATGAGACCTGTGTTTTCTTTCTGGAAGCTTGTGGGATCTTTTTTTGTTTCTGATGATGAAATTTGCCTAAGTGTGTGTATTTTCATCCATTGTAGGCCCTTAATAGGCCCTTTCAATTAATTTGGAAATTCATGGGCTTCATTTCCAGGGAATTTTCTTAAATTATTCCATAGATGTTTTCCTCCCCTTCTCTTTCTGTTTTCTCTTTCTGGAATGTCTGTTGTTGAGATACTGAATGCTCTGTCCCTCATCTTACCACTCACTCATTTTTCCATCTTTTTGTCTTTGTTTTTGGGAAGATTTCTTCAGTTTTATCATGTAGCTCTTTTCTAGTAGGTTCTTAAAATGAAACATAACACACAAACAACACAATGCAGAAATCACAAGCATGCATTCAGATCAGCAAATTATCACCACTGAAACTAGAAACACTTGCGTGACTCCCACCCAGGCCAAGGAAATGGAATCTAATAACTACCATTCTGCAACCCTCGCACGCCCTGGCCCCCACACCCTCAAACAATCACTATCCTAACTTCTAACACCGTAGATCAATTTTATCGTTTCCAGTGGTTTTCAAACGTCAGTGCACATGAGAATCAGCTAGAAGATTTGTTAAAATGGATTTCTGGGACTCACCCTCAGAGTTTCTGATTCAGTGTGTCTCAGGTGGCGAATTCTCACTCCTCCCAAGTTACCAGGTGATGCTGCTGCTGCTGGGCTGGGACAGTTCTCTGAGAACCATGGGCCTATTCTTGACCTGATTATGAATGGAGTCATACAGTGCATCCTCTTTTGTGATGGTTTCTTTTGTTCAACATTAACTTTGTGAGGGTCATCCTTTTTTTCTTTTTCTTTTAATGGAGCTG